TTATTCTCCCGTCCGCATTGTTTTCAATACTCTGTTTGACTAGTCCATCAATACGCCATGTATAAAAATACATCTAATGATAAATACTTTTTCACATAGCTACGGCGATTGTAATCGAACAAATCTGATTTGTTTTATTTAAATCACCGTAGCGTGGAGTTGACGTGAAGCTGGGCAGTTGGGTTTTCATAGCTTAAGTGAGAAACATATCGAACAAACAACAACAACAACAACAAAGGACTAGAAGGAGCAGACCACTAAAGCGCTGTCACAAAGAAGAAAAAAGCAAATTTTTGTTGTTGTTTTGTTTGTTTGTGTTCTTTCTAGTCCGGCACTTTTTGCGCGTTTTTTTTTTTTCTATTTTTTTTATTCGGGTTATAATTTATATGAACTGGTGTATACGCATGGCAATTTAATAATGCTGCTGATGAACGTTTCATTTTATACGGGGTGTTTAATTTTCATTCGAACAGACTTATGTAAACCGAGAGAGAGAGAGAGAGAGAGAGAGAGAGGTGACGTGAGAGAAGTAGGGGAGGTTGTTCTAGCGGGGATGCTGAACTGGTTCCCCATGAAAGAAAGTAGAGAGAAAGGAAAGAAAGGGGGATAAAGAAAATGGAGAAGGAAAATAGAGAAAAATAAGATAAAGACGTAAACGGCGCTGAGAGTTAATGTCGAGTTATACCACAGGCGGTTTGCGACACCGGATTCGTCGAGGAAGTTCAGTAGCAGGTGTTGTATTATTTGGCGGCGACGGGCTGAACCACTTGGATAGATGATGTCCTCGTCGTCTGGATCACGAAGTCCAATTCTGGCGAGCTCAGTGACGAAACGGTGACGTGGATCGCTATATTCCTCGCAGTTGAAAAGGATGTGGCTAATGCTTTCTTCATCGTTGCATTTCGGACACTGGGAGGAGCTCTTTATTGCAGATATTTTAAAAATAAACTTTTTAATTTAAGATTTAAAAATTAAAAAAAAATATATATGTAAACCGAAATTCATGAAAGGTACAGTAATGCGGTTTATGCGGGTGAGTTACACGGCCAGGGGAACGTAATACAGGGGCTCATTTCTCACATTACGTCAAATGAGTAGCCAAAATGTGTTAATTACCTTCTTTTAATTAGTGAAAATAAACACACGGTTCCAAGCAGAAACTTGCTGAGCGTCATCGAAACCCCACTATATGAGTCAATTTCGGATGGACTCGAAGCACGCGGGAAGCGACAGAGTGCACATAAGTTCGCACTCGTGCAACAGGCACAAGGCTAGCGGTGTTAGAACAAGGATAATGAACTTGAATCAGGGTGTAAGATAGACAGGTGGGGAAACGGCCCATAGAAGTCTCCCGCAGCGCCGTGACCGGATTGTGTACTCGTCTGCTTGCGGGTACCGCCGATTTGCAACAGATGGCGCTGCGGCGAGAGGAAAAAAATTGGAATTGAATTTGCATGGAACTTTATGGGAGAGCGCGTAAAATAAACCTAGATCACGACATTCCTTCATTGAAAATCCAAGAGAAATCATCTCCGTCTGTTTAGTCGGTCGCCACCGGTCGCCCACCCGGAGTTAGAGTTCGCGGTGCTCCACATAGATGGCGCCACAAAAAAAAAAGAGAAACCCGAGGGGGACACAATCCGGTCGTTTATTTGGCTCTCGTTTCCCCACCTGTCTATCTTACACCCTGACTTGAATTGAGCACCCTGTTGGACGAGTGGGAACTTTGGCGCACCCCATTGGGCCTTTCACGTGCTTCAAGTCATTCCGAAAGACGAATTTTCGACGATGCTCATCGGCAAGTTTGTAATTGAAACCATATGTTCATTTTCACTAATCAAAAGAGTTAATTAACACATTTTGTTAATTATCGAACGTAACGCGAGGAATAACCCCCTCTATTATCTCCTCCTGGCCGTGTATGTAACACACCTGCACAAACCGCATTAGTGTAGCTTTCACGGGTTCTTTTTTTTTTTAATAAAGTCGTTTTAATTAGAATTAAACCCCCGGCCTATATAGGTATAAATATATGCCTACTATATCTTGCTCGGCCTTAGCCGATAATGCTCGTAGCACGGCAGCAAATTCCTACGTGTAATTTACGAGTCTAGACACGCTACTCGCCAGATCGTGTTACGACTTCGGGTAATAAGAGCTCCTAACAATGAGGCGATACAGTGGGGTGCATGCTGGACTAAGCAAGCGGATCTGCCTCAAACGTATACCAGAGGTATAATGACAAGAACAGTGCACACTTGAACATGCGGTTCGCTTTAAAAATAAAAATAACTGAAGCAGCGCTTTTGTAATCGAATTATTTCTGCCTCCACTTCCCCGTATAGTTATGACATGGCCCGCAACGTTGGGGTAAAAAGTTTGTTTATATCATCTTCGTCACACAGTATGCACGCTACCATATTCGTTTCTTTTTTTTACTTTACTTCTTTGAACGGGAGTACGCATGAGCTCGCGTTGCATGCTTCGAACTTTTCAACAGGGCAAAGCATGCTAGACGATAGCACCCAAGCTACCAAATGCCTTCAAAATTTAACGCCAAAAGACCTAAAAGATGCGACGCTACTCTTATTTACTCTTATGGCGCATTTTTTTTTTTTTTTTTTTTTTTTTTGTCTGTCACGAGAATGAGCACATTTTGGGGATTTTTCATGATATACGGAACTGTGCCGCATTTTTACAGATACGTGTAATAATATAGCTCTTTTTTTCTTTGTTAGTATAACGATTTTGTAGATATATAGTTCATAAAATGACGCTAATACGTTTTTCCTCGCCTATCATCGAGGAACATAATAGAGGCCCCGGCCCGTTTCTTTTAATCCTGGCCCGAAAAGATTTTGTTTTTTAATCTTCATAAAACGAAAAATATAAATATGGAAATTGCACTTTTATTCACGCGAGAAAGTAAACATTACTAAGGCAGCACAAACTTTAATTCTAGCGTGAATAGCATGGCTTTTGTCTATTTATGTAGTAATTATTTCTATCGAGCATTTTTGTAATTATTTTATTCGTGCAAACCATAATTTGGAGTTGAGGATAAGTTCACCGCTTAAAGCCTTTGAAACCGATCAAATAGGCTCGGAATTACGTTGATTTGCGTTGTTGTTTTGCTTCGTTTAGTGAACGGCGTGGAAAATAGATTTTATATTTGTTTCCCTTTTTTTTTTTCCTGTTAGCGCTGAAACTTTGGCATCTGGTTTTGACCTCTAGCGCTTCGTTTGGGCGGATAATGAGCGTTCGACAATGCATATTTTATATTTGCGGTTAACAAAAAAAAAAAGAAGAAAACTACATTTTTGGGGGGACACGCTGTACCACACTCAAAGAATGTAATTCAAGTAAAGTACAAGTTTCCTAAACCTACTTAAAGTAGTACTTTAACCTGAAGCAGGCACGTATCTAGGGGGGTGGGGAAGGGAGGGACCTCCCCCCTCCCCCCTCCTCTCTCTCTCCCGAATCAAAATCGAGCGCTCGTCCGTCGTTTGTGTTTCTCACTTTGTCCTCGTCTTTTGCGCGCTTTTAAAACCAGGATGAATAACTACCAACTAGCCCAACTTTCCACTCTACTGCAAAAACCTGGCTACGTCCCAACGCAGGGCGCCGTAGGCACGAACGCTGAAAGAGGCACTGGGTTGAGAAAGCCGTGGAAGCGCCGCTTCCAGCACGCGTTTGTTACCTTCTGTCGTGATGAGGATCCGCATCTATACTCCGTTTCACCTTCCGTCCGAGCACAGCGGACGCTAGGAGCCATCCCAGCCAATGCGGCGTTGAGGGAGTGTCATGCGACCTTGAGCTCCCTGCGTCGCCCCGCCCCACCGGCAGGTCAGGAGACTTTCTCCCGGCGCTGGATCGGCTGGGATGGCTCGTGGCGTCCACTGCGCTCGGACTGAAGGTGGAACGGAGTATAGTCTCCCCTTTTGGTCCCCCCCTTCGTATCGAAAGCCAGCCGTGACAGCGGGCAGACGAAGCATACCACAGAAACGAAGCAGACGTAACCTAAGCCTAACGCAGCTGACCGAGCGGCAAGCAGACGATGAGAGCGGCGTCGGTGCGCAAGGCAGTCTGGGATTGAGTTCCTTTTCGGCGTCGTTGGAAGCTGGAAGCACTTTTCTAGAAATCTGAGTTAGGAGCGGACTGCGGAGCGCAAGTTCGTCTGCTTCTTTTGCAGGGGTTGTGGTGACGTCAGAACGCTCATCTTTGGTTGGCTTTGATTGAAGCATAGTGGGTAGACCTCAAAGCAAGCTGCCTTGAGGTCTACCCACTATCCTTTCAATCAGAGCCAATCAGAACGCGGCGTTCTGATGTAAAAGAAGCAGACGAACTTGCGCTCCACATAGCTTTTTGTTCCATGAATTCAGTTATCGCATTTAGCTTTGGCAAAAGTTAAACTGCATATATTTTGAAAAATCTGTGCAGCGATTGCTGCCGGGCATGCGGCGAGCCCCTCTGTCGCCTGTCATCTCTCCAGAGCGTCGTGACGTCGTTGACGGCATCTCCGAGCCAGCTTAGTGGTGCAAGGGTCATCTGACCCCGCTGATGACGTCACTTTTGCTAGTATTTTTTTTTTTTTTTTCGCTCTCGTGTTTTAATTTTTGGCGTGCTGCAACAGGCGGGTCTACGTCAAATTTTTAATTGGCTATTACGATGCTCCTACTAATAAGAACGAAAGAAAACTTAAAGACACATAATTTTGAAGGTGTCGACATTACAACTTAACTGTTTGTTCGAATTCAAGGGCCTCTTCAGCTTCTCTTTAAACCTCCTTGATATGAGACGCTCCCTTTATATTAGTCTGCCTATTGCACACCTCGTGCGTTTGTTTACCCACTAAATACGCGCACGCGCCTTTGTTCTGTGTGCCACGCGATTGCCACGCGATTGGCCTTGCGTTCCGATGCGCCAAAGACTCATTTTGGAAAACTTGCTTTCCGTATGAAATTTTTTTACTTACGCGGAGGCTTCGTTGATCTTCGCAGGTGCGGGGAGTGACCCAGCTGACGTTACACCTTCCGAGCGAGTACACGAGCTTGTCGAACGGCGAGCTGCGCGTGGACTACACGCCTCCCACGGGGGACCCCAGCCCCAACTTCACCTTCCCCGCGACGGATTCCGTCGAGGGGGTACCCATCGACGACGTCCTGCCGGGCACCGACTACACATTCCACCTGTATCTCAGCAATGCCACCGTCAGCAACCACAAGCTATGGACCACCGTCATTGAAACAGGTAAAAACGGATTTAAAAAAAAAAAAAAAAAAAAAAAAAAAACCTTTATTTTCGCTAGGTGGCGCAAGCAGCCGTCCAATTCGAAGGAATCGACCGTGTTCATTTATCTGTTATCCGGTTGGCTTGCGCCACTGATCTCTATGACAATTGCTGGATCGCGCTTCCCCGCTTGTTCGCTGCAGCGCAAGTGAAGCCACCGGGCTTCACTCGCTTGGGATACGATTCGCCGTTTTTGCTAGCTTTTGCTGCGGTTTTCCAGCGTGCTGACGACACGTTTTCTACTCGTTCGTCGTCATTCGCCGAAGAAGTTTTTTGAAGACTCTGTGTATTGTTGAGACTTGCCGTTGTGAACACGTGGAAAATTTTACGAAAGTGCAGTGTCGCAGGAAAAAAGGCACAACGCGTCGAAAGGAAGGGCTGGCGGCGTGTTCAAAGCTTCCTTGGCACGCCGAAGTGCCGTGTCTCTGTGCCTTCACACGCTTGGATACCGACCAAGAACCGACGCCGTGTGTATGTGTCCAGCGAGCGCAATGTGCGTGAAGCTGTTCGTGCCTCATCAGCGTTTTTTCCCCTCGCGGTTTAGGAACGAGCTTAATCCAGCGTCCACTAGCGACGGAAGATGGGGAGAAGGTACGTCTTTTTTTCGTCCTTAGACGATTTACACAATACCGTGCACAACAGCTCCTCATCACTGATCAGTGCTGGCTTATTATCAACCTACTTAATTGCACTTGACGTTTGAGCGCGGCTCGCCTAATTGTAATTGGTCAACAGATTGCACACGACCATATCGGCCGCGCTTCAAAGATTTTCATTCTCGCCGTCTTGTACTTTTGCTTTCGAAAACCTCCCTGGCTCCACAACGTTGCCCTATTCGTGCTCCCACGGAATCTATTAGAGTAGATTTGGGACATAGCCATGCTTAATATAGTACATAAGAACACGTACAGATCTCCCCCTTTTATTGATAGCAACTCACCGGAACAGCTGGACGATCCAGAACTCCGTGGCCGATATATATAAATGATCTACAGGCATCTACGCGCGACACACGTTCAGAACTTTGGCGCGGCGTCAATTCTTGACCGGTATCCAAGCGTGCGAAGGCACAAAGATGCATCACTCGGCGTGCCAAGGAAGCTTTGATCACGCCGCGACACCGGCGACACGTTTTGGACGAGTTGTACCTTTTGATACGGCTTCACGCACATTCCACTCGCTAAACACATTCACACGGCGTCGATTCTTGGTCGGTATCCAAGCGCGCGAAGGCACAGAGACACGGCACTTCGGCGTGCCAAGGAAGCTTTGAACACGCCGCCAGCCCTTCCTTTCGACGCGTTGTGCCTTTTTCCTGCGACACTGCACTTTCGTAAAATTTTCCACGTGTTCACAACGGCAAGTCTCAACAATACACAGAGTCTTCAAAAAACTTCTTCGGCGAATGACGACGAACGAGTAGAAAACGTGTCGTCAGCACGCTGGAAAACCGCAGCAAAGGCTAGCAAAAACGGCAAATCGTATCCCAAGCGAGTGAAGCCCGGTGGCTTCACTTGCGGGAGCGGCAAGCGCGATCCAGCAATTGTCATTGAGATCAGTGGCTTGCGCCGCCTGCGTCGCAGTTCAGGCAGTGGGGTGAAGCTCTCGGATACTTCCGTCCCGCCGCGTATACTTATGACGTTTGTCCGGTCCGGCGAACTGCTTCCGATTGCCGCGCTCCCAGCGGCTGTTGGCACTTGTTATTTCATTTTAAATAAAATTGATTCATATATTTAATGATGCGAAATAAAGGTGAAGTTGTTTTGAAGGTGTGAATGGCTTTGAAGCTTGTTATTGTAACTTTCTCTTTCACTCTTTCAACGCGTCTGGGCGCGCTTTCTCTCTCTCTGAACCCGCGCCTCTCGCCTCGCGATGCGCTGGCCGCTGGCGCCGGGAAGTCGCTGGACCGTTGGAACGCGCGAGGGACGCGAGCCGGCGAGTTGTTTCGCTTCTGGGAGTGCGTCGCGGCGCGAGATTCGTCCCGCGTTCGTGCGCGCGCGGCTATCTTTTCTTTTTCGTGGGAACTTGTTGTTGTTGGTGTAATGTGGTCAAGCATGGATTTTCGTCATCAACACACCACCTGATGTGCCAAGTGCGGAAACAATGACTGCCGAAAGCCGGGATATCAATGGTTTCGAGTTCGAATGGACGTGCGGTACGCTCTTTTGGTCTTCTCTTGCTCAAGTTTCTGATTAGATGTTTGCAACAAAACCTAACTCTCGCAGTGGTAGTGAGTATTAATTGTTTGATTTTGGCAATAGCTGCAATGGTTTCCAATCACAAAACCAAATCCTATCATTGTTCAGGATTGCTCTTCACTCGCCGCGAGAAATATGTCATTGTCAAATTACTGGAGACTTCTGTGTAGATACTAATAGCGCTTCACGACAGGGACGAAGGGTAGGAACGAGACAACACAATGCGCTAACTTCAACTGGTTTAATCGTCAGAAAATCAAAGGTATAAATACTCTGCATCATCGCGCCATTCAACCAATCCCAAGCCACGCCACTGATCGCAAGAACTGTATCTCTTTGTCTGCCAAATCGATCGACGCCACGCTGACACATCGATCCCCGTAGTTTCTTATCAGGTCCGCCTGAATTTATACTATTCCCTACCGCACGACAAACTACTGACCTGCGTAGAGGAAAGCATCGATAAACACGGGGTGGTGGCCTTTCAGAACGCAGCAGGAATGACTGTAGATGACTTTCTCGAATTGCTTACATTTTATCTAAACTCGACCTTTGTTGAGTGGAACAGCGGAGTGTAGATTCAGAAGCGAGGGGTGTGTATTGGCTCGTGTTTAGCTCCAGTTTTAAGCGATATATTTTTAGCCCATCATGACAGAGTTCTCTCGGAACGCCTGAATGACTTTAATGGTAGTAAGGTTTTTAGATTCGTCGACGATTATTTAGTTTTTCTTCCCCATGACGTTTCTCACTTTCCCTCGGTGGTGAACAGCCTTTTAACAGTTTTTAGTACCGTCCTAGATCCTCTCAAGCTTACGCACGAGGTACCTGTGGACAACGTCATACAGTTTTTAGATATCAGGCTCACACTTTCGGAGCAACATGTGTGTTGGAAATACCAACCAAGAGCAAACAAGCCCCTGTTGCCTTTCAATTCATCCCATTCAAAACTTGTCAAGAGAGGAATTGTAAATTTGTGCTTTGTGAACGCCATCAGAAGGTCGTGTCATCATGCGATGCCTTCAGGTCTGAAGGAGCAGTCAGAACGCTTGGTGGCTGCCGGTTTCCCTGGAACGCTCCTGGTGTCGGTTGCAGAAAAGGTTTTAAAGAAGCTACGAGTAGTAGCGAGTCCAGACCAGGATGTGGCCCAAAAGAAACAAAGAGTGGCGGTTGTGCCTTACATGCACAAAACGGCACACGATCTCAAAAGGATAGCAAACCGCCTAAACGCTCGGGTGGTTTTTTCTGCACCCGAAAAACTTGCCAAGTTGTGCCAAAATGACGGACCCTTACCGCAAACCACCGGTTGGCTGCGTGAAGAAGCATCGCAGCCCATTTGTAGATTGCGCAGAAGGCGTCGTTTATGAGATCCCGCTGACGTGCGGTAAAAAGTACGTTGGACAGACGGGAAGATGTCTAAATGACAGATTGCGCGAGCACAACCTAAAAGTGAGCGGACAGCGTGACGGTCATTTGTCGATGCACTGCCATGACTGTGGGTGCAAACCTGAATTTAATTTGTGCACTGTCATTAGAAAACATAGAGATAAGACGGTAAGGGAAATTATAGAGGCGGACCTGATAAGAAACTACGGGGATCGATGTGTCAGCGTGGCGTCGATCGATTTGGCAGACAAAGAGATACAGTTCTTGCGATCAGTGGTGTGGCTTGGGATTGGTTGAATGGCGCGATGATGCAGAGTATTTATACCTTTGATTTTCTGACGATTAAACCAGTTGAAGTTAGCGCATTGTGTTGTCTCGTTCCTACCCTTCGTCCCTGTCGTGAAGCGCTATTATGTTCTCCAAGTTTCAGTACCAACTCGCCCAAGAATCCGCATTATTCTGTGTAGACTTTTTCATATCAAGATCGAGCACATATGCTAACCTTAAAAGATGGCAAACTTTTTGCTGTGAGCTGTTTATTTGGCACTGTTGTCAGCGATTCACGCGTCTGTTCGCGAGGAGTGAAAATATGAGCCTAAATATTTTTCGATTAACTCAGGATGAGCGATAGAGCGATCCGCTCTGGTTTCCCGTTTCGTTTAGCAGTGACTCACTCCTAAATTTAAGTGATAATATTAAAAACGAATGGGCAGGTTCTCGATGAAGACTCAATACCAAAGAGCTGAGCTGTTTTTCTTGGTACTCATTGCTTAGTTTCCTTTAGTTGCAATTAAGACACCGTCGTCGGTCTTTACTTATATGCTTACTTATATAATCAAATTTCAAGGACGCATATCATCACATGTCGCACGTAACCTTAACGTTTTATCCTGTTTTTTTGTTCATTTCTTTGTTTCTCGTGTGCAAAACAGTGAGAAATTTCGTCTGTATTTTCTACTGTCTGTTGAATAAAAATGAACGCAAAAGGACAAGCATTGCATATTTTTTGTGTATGTGTCACTTTCGTTGCTTTGCTAGGTTTCTGCTGCTTTGCTGCTGGTCTCGCTTTTCAGCGCTGGCTTGTGTGCGTTTCAACGCACGTTAACCAGCATTGAAATGCGAAAACCAGCCGCAAAGCAGCAGAAGCCTAGCAAAGCAACGCGCAAACCGGGCAAAAACAAAATGCTACAATATATATATTTTTAACTCTAGGTGGCGCAAGCTACCGCCCATCCATCCAAACACAATGGCGCTGCCGTGCAGTTTCGGTTTTGGTTTCGCTGTGCCGCCATGTTGATTTTAGTACAGCCACCAGATACCAGGGGATTCAAATGGCGCTGCGGCCTCCCAGGGTTTTCCAATTTGCGTTCCATGGGCGGTATAGGAAGTTGCACTCCTCTGGTTCAGGCATGCGCGCGCTTGTTTGTAAGCTATAAATTATCAGGCAAGTGCAGGCAAGTGATATTTTGAAAATTGACTCTCTCTAACCTGTGGCGAGTAGCAGAACGCCAGAAACACGAAGTGGCCTTCACTCCGATGTCACAGGAACGATTCTTAGTATGCAACGCATCTCATGCCTTGGCTTGCTGGAGTGCATGCAAAGAAATATGTAAGATTCCGCTTGTTTTCCCCAAAATATTGATAGTGGCACATGCTTTTCTTTTTAACAAATAAGCTGTTAAAGGAGCCTGTCCTTACTTTATTTCATCAAAAGTCAGAGTGCAGCAATAGGCAGAAAGACATTCAAACATGAACATGAACAAAAAATCCAGAAGTCATGGCACTTTCACAGTGCTTGATTGGTTTGTCCCCTGGTAGCACGAGTACATATGGACGATAAATGCCATGACATTGCACTTTTTGGCACTGCTTCATTGACCCCACCAGCTTGTAACAAGACACCAAAGTATAGCACCAGTAAAGCAAGCACAAAGGAACAAACTTGCTCATTAATGGGTAAACAATTGATGAACATAAACTTCTTTAATAAAAGAAAACATGTGGCATAGAATGTACTGATATTGATCTGCATCATTAAAAGGAGAACCCTGGAGAAGAAAACTCCTCAACACAATCAGTCAAACAATTGCCTCTCAAATTCGGCGAGCTTTGTTAGAAATCATTGCCTACGGTGCAGTATAGCTTACCAATATACTGTCGATCTCTACACCTTCACATTAAACTGATTCAAGGTGGTCGGAAAGGTGTCCGCTACTGTCTAAAGGCCACATTTTGTTCTATTTCATGCATCCTGTGGAACACCATAAGATGGCTTGTTGAATGATTGCCACAGTAGTCGCCGACAGTTCATGAATCGCGAGGTTTGGCAAGTCCCGATTATTTTTTGATCGCTCTGCCGCCAACGAGATTGCAGCTGATAAGAATACGGAAGGACGAATCAGGAAGCAAAAAGCCTGAACGCAAAGAGTCACGCCTCTGCCTTTCTTAAGGGAATGTGCGGGTCGAAAAACTACCAAAAAATTTATTTTGTGTTTTAGGGTGTTTGATCATCTTCAAATCTTCATATTTTATGTAAAAAAAAATGAGGACCGAATATGAGCGGAAAATTGGTCAAACACGCATATGACTCCTGGTGACCCAGAAAGGCAATCATTTTAGCAAATTTTCGTGTTCACAGTTCTTTCAATTGTGACCTTGCCCCGCCATCACACTCACTTTGAGGAGTAGGCTAGGCTAAACAGTCTCCTCTATGTCACATTCTTCTGTGGCTTCAATTTCTAGCAAAAAAATTGTGAAGAGATTATTATTTTCCTGCTGCGAAAGAATTTTCTTCACATCTACACGTAGGGTAATATTCAGACGCGTTTTTCTCTTTCCATAATTTTGGAGCATCTTTACAGTTTGTGCACAAATATTCTTGTTCTTAATATTGTCCTATCCTAACCAAATGTGGCATGCACATGCTCTGGGATATGTAGAATGCAACAATCCAGGTTTGGTTAGAATGTATATTTTATATTTATGAAAATCCAAAGAGACACTTCTTAGGTACACGTAGCAGAGCGCGTTGGATAGACTACAGTTTGCCGCAGAAAGAATAAAAACTCCTCGTATATTTTCAGTGCTTTTGTACTTTCTGTGTGAACTGTAAACACTTCTTAGCCCTTTAAAAATGGGGCTTTTGCAATTTCAAATTATTTTAAAATACAAGAAGTCTCTCGCACATTATTTTGGTTCATTGCACTCTGTGATTTAAAAGAAGTTAATTAGTATAATTTACTAAGCTCTCCTAAGTTTGTGTCATGCCCCACATGGTGCTGAAGAACATGGATTTATTTGCATGTTCACTGCATTGAGAACATAATAAAAACAAGTTATATCAAAACTAGCTGCATGTTTATAAAGTAAGTACTTTTAAGTACTATAATCTGAAAATTTTTTTTCAGTTATCATATATATAAAAAAAAGCTTTCCTCTGGTGCATGTCCCCTTAAAAAAAAAAAAAACTCTTAACTTAGGGAAAAAATGTTTTTTCTACCTGGTTAGGACAGGCATGTCTCTAAATTAATGTTCGTCGAGAAATAAAAAAAATGTTTCCTTAATATTTATATTGCAATACAAATTTTTCGATTTGTAGCAAAACCGAAGTGCACTCCTATGGGACGATAATGATAGTGTTTGTACCCAACTAGTGCACGCTCTGACGTCTAGCAAACTCGGAGCGCACACTAGTTGGGTACAAATGCTATAATCATCACACAGGGGTACAACTCCGGTTTTTCATGAAAGATTTGAACTGTGTTGGAGACCAAAGCAACGCATGGCATTGCTAATCTGAGCCCCAATCGCCGTTACTGCGCAGAACCGGATGCTCCGACCAACCTGTCCATCAAGGTGGACACAGGGAAAGTGGCACACGTCTACTGGGAGCCGCCAACGGTGGGCAAGAAAACGGGGGTACCGACTGGCGATCCAGCCGCTTTCGGAGACTGACGAAGCGTCCGACCGGAGCATCCACCTTGGCGAAGAGAACCCTCCCTACACCCTGAGAGACCTCACGCCCGGAGGAACGTACCAGGTCCAGCTCTTCAGCGTCTACAAGTCCAAGGAGTCCCTGCAGCCCGCCACCGCAAACTTTACCACGAGTGAGCGTTTTGAACCTGCTTGCTCCGCTCTAGTTCTTGTACCTGTCGAAAATATACTGCTCTGCTCTGATACAGAACTTGCTACTTTGGACCTGCTAAAAGCGGGATACGTGTAGGGCAGTGACATAGCCAAGAGGGAGGGGCTTAACATATATAGGAAATTTTCTTTTAAGATATGTGGGACGAATGCAAGAATTCATGTAACTTGGCACCTAGAAGTGCAAAAATAAAGATTGAAGTGTTTTTTGTTTTGTTTTCTTAATCTTAAGAAAAATATGTAACGAGTAATGTTACCTGTTACTCGAAATAAGTAATGTACCGTAAAATCCCGAGAAAGGACCCAATCAAAATCTTTGTGTATTTTCCCAACATTACAAAATTGAGGGTTAGGCGCTTATTGTACAATGAACGGGTGCTCGGTATTTTGCGGTAATTAAGTACATTATCCGTTATTGTTTTGAAAATGTAATGAATCTGTTACTATGTTACTGAAAAAAGTAATATGTTACTATGTTACCGAAAAAAGTAATGTTACTTGTAACACATTACCGCCAACACTCCTCATGCACATCATGAACGCTACAGCTCCAGTTGTCTTCTTATGCTCCCATTCTGCGTAGGATGACCCTAATACTCGAAGTAGATAGCGGGACACTCGAATTCGGAGGAAGGAGAGGGAGGCTTAAAAAAAATTGCTATGAATTATTTGAGCATAGAAACGCATATTGTTCCAGGGCCGGACAAATGATTTTTGTCACTGTTTCATCATTGCCAAACTAACATGTCAAATTCAGTAGTGCTGCATGAATAGTTTGGCACATTTATTGACAGATTTAACGAGGGAAAGAGCTCAAAATCGGGCTTTTTTGGAGGTCACATTTTTATAGTATATTTACTTGTATGAAATAACAGCTCAACGGAATAAACATTTTTTTTGTTTTCTTCCATTCACTTCATACTAATTTCTCAACTGCACATTCTCACAAAAACGGGGGACGGGTCTGTCCTGCCCAAAATGGGATGTCCGGTTACCCTAATTCTGCGATTCTGCGGCCTTGCAGAACCCAATGCCCCCGGCCGCTTCATCGTGTGGTTCCGCAACGAGACCACGCTTCTGGTCCTGTGGCAGCCCCCCTACCCCTCTGGCATCTTTGACCAGTACCTCGTCAGCATCGTCCCAGAGGATGCGTCCCAGTCCATCTTGTACGTGGACAAGGAGGGCGAACCGCCCGGTCCGGCACAGGCACCCTTCTATGGGCTCGTACCCGGAAGGGCCTACAACATCTCTGTGCAGACCATCAGTCAGTCGCAGATTAGCGCGCCCACGGAAGCACAGTATCGAACAGGTATGGTGGTTTGTGATGGGTCGAAACTTTGAAAGATATTAAACTGATTGTATATGCTCCTCCTGCGGAGCAAGGTGTCACGACTGTCCCAAATTTTTTACTTCGAGTTTTGCGTGAGAAGTAAATGTCACTCTTGCAAGAGACGTGAGGGGGGCGACTGCGTGGGGTGGTGGCAGTTCACCACGCCTGCACCGTCGTGCATCTCCCAAATCCCTCCAAAGCGCACACACACGGCTTGGTCGTCAGGTCGTCTGCTTGTTCGAGGCCGCTTTGAGACTGTGCTTGCAAGTGACGCAATTACACGCGTCTAAGTGGCGCATTCGACGTCTAAAGGTTCAAGAAGCCTCCAGCTTGTCATGCTTCAGTCCAAGATCTATTTTTCATGAGCGCAAAGCAAAAGGTGCGTCTCGCCCCAAACCCGGCGTTCCTTCAGGTGGCTTCCCCGCAAGCGCAAAAGTCAAATTTGGCCAGTGAAGAGTTAGCAGCGAAAAAAAAAGGCGGGGGATACCCCGGCCCCCCACCGTTTAGTTACTCTACTGCCGTGTTGAGCAGTTAGGCCTTAGCCGATTTACCCAGTGTTGGGTGAAGTAGTTCTAAAAAGTACTCGAAGTAAATTACAAAGTAAATGAGAGGTTATGTCTTCCAAGTAAAGCTGTAAGTACACTGGGTACAATGTACTTGATGTGAAGTACTATAAATACAATGTACTTTCAATGTAAAGTACAAGTACTCTTTATTGCAATCTTTCACAATGCCCTTTCATTCCCCTATACAGTGTTATTTTTGGTGTGCATAGCCGCGGGGGTAATTGGAGGTGCATCAATTATTTTCGTAAACGGCGGCAAATATTGGATAAAATCAAGTGGATTCAGAGTTGTCAAAGCATCATTTTATGATACAAATTTAACGAGACCATATTTGGGGAGTGTTGAAGTCAGGACTTGTACTTTCCTCAGAAAGTACCAGAAAAAAGTACTTTGAGTAAGTACAAGTACATTCTCAGAGAATGTACTTAAGTAAAGTACAACTATTCTAAACCTCCTTGAAGTAGTACTTTAAGTATGTACATGTACTTAAATTACTTCCCAACACTGCATTTACCTATGCGCAAACCTTATCGCATCACCGCAGTCCCCCTTCCGCCCACCAACGTGACCTTCGACAAGGACAAGGTGAACTCGCGGTCCTTCGAAGTGAGCTGGTCGCCGCCCAAGTCCTTCTCGGAGTTTGACCGCTACCAGGTGGCGCTGAGCGTGCGGCACTCGCTGCGGCAGATTGTGGGCAAGGACGAAGAGTGTGTGGCCAGCTTCGACCAGGACTTGGAGCCGGGCCACACCTACGAGGTCATGGTCAAGACGGTCAGCGGCAATGTGGCCAGCTGGCCGGTCATGGGCAACATCACCACCCGTGAGTCTCCTCATTTTGTGCTGGTGTGTGCACTATGGTGCAAAAATCTATGACGATACTATCAATGATATCAGCAGTGGAAACTGAATCTATCTAACGATAGCACTGTCGATACTAATAACAGAAACCGAGCCTAACTGGTGACGGTACTATTGATAGAATTTATAGTAAAAACCAAAACCTAACTATTAATAGTAGAAAAAAACTACCAGTGGTAAAAGAGCTACCGCACTGTCATCAACTGTCGTAAACTAGCAATAGTCGGTGAATAGTGCCATAGATAGTCATCAGAAGCCATACACATATTTGAAAAAACTGGAGACGACAGACGAAGAAGTGGACAAACACGAAACATTTTGACGTTTTGTGTTTGTCCCCTTCTTCGTCTGTCATCTCTGGTTTTTTCAAATATGTTCAACAACCACCAGCTCGTTTGTTTACTTACTCTTCCTTCAGCCACTGGTGTGTTCTGCTGGCATGTGGGAGTTGACCCACAACAATTCTCTGATTAGTATAGAGTAATGTATAAGCTTTATATTCTACCACGCACCCGGCATGTTCATAAAGTATACGTAAACCACTGACTGTGGCACATGCTATGTAGGTATTCAATATCATGGGGGCGATGTATTTGCGTGATCATATTGCAATAATCTTTTAAGTCGCAAATCCACTAAAAATTATGTCCTCGCAAAAATTAAGCCGTTCACAGTAAATACCATTCAATCAAACAGTGAAAGTAAATGTGATGTTTCATTTTTACGGCTTTTTCAGTTCCACTGCCTGTGGAAGAGCTGAATGCAACGTATGGCAGTGCGGGAGAGATTCTAGTCCGGTGGAAGCCCAACAATGCAAGCCTCCAAGATTCCTACCTGGTAAGAAAAACAGCTGCACTTTTCAGAAAACAGTTTTATTAGTGCCTGCTAGTGTCCTTGTACGACACAACTACACTCATGGCGATGTCATAGTTATGCGTGTGGTTGTTTGTTTCGCGGGGGTGGGGGGGGGGAAATGATTTGTGCAGCAAGGAGCTATTCGGGCATGCATCTTTTATCTTGTGCAGTTGATTCCTGGGTCATGTTTTATAAATGTGGAGGGCTGATGCATATATTCTGATAATTGCTGGTGTATAGACTTATTTCTGAAATTCTAGCAGTATCATTTCGAACTTTGGTAATTTGGTTACGTGGGATTTTTATTATGAAACATAAATTCACTTAATGTAGTAATTGGTGAGATAATGCAAGTTATACGGCTTATGAGGCAAATATGTAGATAGATATTATTACATCTTGGGCGTTTTTCATCATTGTTTGTGGTCTCCAAAGAGGAAATATTTGAAAATATCCAGATGAATGATCAATACTTCATAGGATGAAACGAAGTCTACAAAGCTGCCGAAAGGCAAAATCTTAGGCGAAGCTCGGATTGGGACTTTGGGTCTCTGAATATCCGGTTGGTTATGCTAACCACTACACCACTCCACCTTGTCTTTCTGGTGCTTTACAGCTAGAAAAAGCTGTAACATCGTATCATGAGCTCTTTAGGGAAGCATTCGAATCTGTAATTGTAGGACCTCCTTTAAAAGATATTGCCTCATGCTCACAGCTTCCTTCCCTGCCACCCAAAACAATATACATAGCATGAAAGTCCTTGTCGTTCTACGACAAAATTGCTTTCTTTGCACTGCAGGTCAAGTACAATGAACTGGAGTCCTTCAGCAGTGACAGCGTAGAGACCGCAAAGAATAACTCCATCCGACTCAGGGGTCTGCTCCAGGGCCGAAACTATTCCATCAGCGTGCTGGCAGTCAGCAAGGGGGTCTCCAGCAAGCCAACTTTCGTCTACCAGGCCACAAGTATGTTCAGCATTTTCCCCAAGCTGAAGATATCCCATTGACATCTTGGGACAGCTGGAATGAGCTATATACATCTTATGCTACATGAGACTTCTAGAAAACATGTTTCCCTAGCCATCTAGAAGATATCTTTACCTAGATGTCATGAAGACATTTCTATGTGGTGTCTAGAGATGTCTTTTCAAGGTGCCATGGCAACCTCTTTATGTGATGTCCAAACGTGCCTTGTCAAGATGTCTTGTAGACAAGCCCTACAATTTAGATGTTTTGTAGCCGTCTTTTTGTTCGTCTAACTTTTGTCTAAAGATGTCTCCAGAGATGTCTCCAGAGATGTCTTGTTTATGTCTCGTAGAAGTCTTGAAGACAGTTCCCAAGGTTTCTTGCAGCACAGAAACAGCAGTCCATTAAGATGGCCAGAAGATGGATACAGGAGATCTCAAAACATCCAAGTCTTTATGATGTCTTGCAAGGATGTCTTATAGACTTCCACTAGACGTCCTGGTGTTCAGTGGGATTGATACATTGCACGTTCGGCGTGATTCGTTTAGAACTGCCCTTGACAGCACATGTTGGTAATTGACAACATCCTTGGGACATCAGCTGTGAACATTCATGAAACATCTGTGCCGCCTGGGCCTAACTACTGCTGTAAGCGCATGCAGCAATTTCTGCCAGGACCTTCAAGTGCAACTCCTGTTGATAACGAAACCAATATAAAAGACTGATTTTGCTTTAGTGCCACGAAATATGATGACAGCCAAAATATTACATCCAAGTGAAGTCGCGAACTCCACTAAAACCAATTTTAAAGATGTGACCAGCTGCTCTTTTGCGGGCGACAAACAGGTTAGCTTTTGGTCAAGGAACACTGGTGCAGCACCCTTGTGACGTTACGTCGTGGTGGAGCTGCGGTTGTACCGCGTGCCGCAGCACCCTTGTGACGTCACGTCGCGGCCATACGGCTGATGATCAGTGTTGCCATCCCTCTAGTACAGCGGTCTCAGACTCATTTGTGCCTCGGAACCAGATGTCCCACACCGGAAAGGTTTAGGGCCAACGTCAAACGGGGGGGGGGGGGGGGGGGGGGGGGAACGAGAATCTGGGAACCTGCCAGTGACATCTTTAGATTTCATTAGTTTATATGACTACCTACTTTGGGGCCCCGATCTGATGTGATAACAAGAGTTAAAATGACATCGCCCCACCAACGTGCTGGCATTTTTAACAGAACAAGAGAGCGAGTACACTATCGTTCTCGTTGCTCAATTCACTCAGGAATGAACCAAGCTCAACATGTCTTTAAAAGAAAACAGTCCGTTATTTTGACAGTTCTTGCTTTCCTGATGTTTTTTATTGCAACACTCGAACAAATATTTGTCCTTTAATGGTGATATTTTTTTGAAGGCGAGAATCCCGAGCTCGTAACTTTATTTCTGGCAGTTGCTCCTGCTGATCGAGAGCTCGCGCAACCGAGATGCATCCTTCAATGAATAGCTCGCGCTTGCAGCCAAGTAGCAGAATTGTTGTACATTACAAAAAGCTGGGAAGCAAACAATAAAGCGAGACAGAGAGCAAATGAACACAGGTAAGTGTAAACTATATGAATACATTAAAAGAGCAGAACTACTTTTCGAACAAAAATGAATCGACGACATGAGATTACTATGGAGCATGCCATTTCTAGCACTCGAAACATGGAAACCGGAAATTGCAGCTGGTTGCTTGCAGGCCGCATTCCAGCGAGTTGCAGGCCGCGTGTTTGAGACCTCTGCTCTAGTAGATATGAATACTTGAAAGGATGAAACATTGAGGACGGGGACGGAAACAGGACTCTTTTATTTTTTTTTTAAATTTCATTTTGTTATTTTTTTATTGTTTTATTCTTTCAAGTATTTGTATCTATTCATCAACACGCCCGTTTTTAATTATTCTAGTAGATAGTTTCGGCTTTGCTGTAGATGCCCGAAACCAAACTTTTGAGTCATGGCATTTATAAAACTACGCAAACAACGAAAAAAAAAATTAGCACCTTGAAATCAGGGACACTGCTTTAGCTGAAAACAGTCATAATCCCAAATTAAAAATAATATTGACTGGAGTTAACCTTTAAGGTGCGGTAGGCACTGTAAGGAATTGCTACCAGGGCCTTACCAGATCTGTCAAATCCTGCCTGTACACATCGCGACACTGTTAGCGCGAACACGACGTCAGCACATTCTCGCATTATACTTGTAAATAGTATTAGCGAGCACGAAATTTTATCACATACATTATAGAACTAATTGAGCTTTTTCCGTAGCAACAATAACTTAGATGACATCCCTTAATTTCAAAAAGAAAAAATGGAAAAACCAGCAATCGCTTGTTCGCGCTAGCAGTGTCGCACTCTGTACCTTAAGGTTCTGGTATGAATTTCTACAAGGAGGTCTTAATGTCCTGGTAAGACACTAGAAGCCCTAGCTCACGTTTCTCGAACTTCGACAACTTGCGACGTAGGGCCAGCGTCCCCCGTCATCGAGGCACTGGAGCCCGTGGGTCAGCACATGAACGTGTCGTGGAAGTCGGACGTGACCAGCAGGCAGGACTCGTTTGCGGTGGTCTTTGTGCGCAACGACACCAACGACCGTCGGCAGGAGGACACCAAGCAGAACTGGCTCCTGCTGAGCAACCTCTACCCGGGCGCCAGCTACCAGATCAGGGTGTACGCGGTCAGCCACGGGCTCTGGTCAGAGCCCCACTCCTACTACCAGACCGTCTGTAAGTGCATGCAAGCAGTTGTTCCCGGACGTGCTCGAAATGTTACAATGTCCCGTGAATGTCTTAAAGACGTCCATAGGACCGTGTACTTTTATCAGGGGGTTGGGACTTTCTAAATACTTCCCCTCATCAAACCGTTTTGTAGAGGAGCCCAGGTGGAAAATGACTTTCTTTTGTTTTTAGTTCTAAGGCTGATGACTTGTGATTTTGCAATGAGCTTTGTCCCAATGATTGCTGGTGAATTGTTAAAAAAAAGGAAACATTTTTAGTGTTATTGAAAAAGATTTTATAGGTTCACCTGTTGGCCTTTAGGAATGTTTGTATGGCAATTTGTTTGTTCATTTGTTTGTTCATTCATTCGTTCGTGCAATCTTCCAATCATATATATTGCAGTGCCCCAAGAGCATTTTTGCGGGAGTGTGTTCAAAGAATGTGATCATTTTTAAGTCAATACGTTCTGCACATATACTATACACTTCCATCAAATGTTTCCACAGTGATGTATTTGCAAGCCATGTTGCCACTTTGTCCTTGCAGCATAATGGCCGGTAATACAGTCTCTTAAGCATGGTCTGGATTGCCAGGCACCCAATTGTTCAAAAAAGGTCTATAAGTATTGCCAATCGCTTGGATAAATTAACCGACTCAGAGCCGTTTGTTTGTTTTCCCCTAGCACCAAGGCCACCGCAGAACCTCCAAATTGCAAAAGCCAGCAACTCCACCATGATCCTAACGTGGAGTGCTCCAGCAAACTCGCTGGTGGATCACTATGCCGTGCGGTACCGACCAGTGGAATCCTCCTTCTGGAGAGAATTCGGTATGTGAATGATCCACACTATTGCAGATCTCTATTTGATATGTAGTATTTTGCATGTAGGGATAGCAAAGAATTGGGAGTAGAATTTTATATACTATAGTCATAATGTTTATCCACCAATTATTCATCTAATAATTGTTGCACGGAACATGTTGTATGGGCAGTAGATAATTTAAAACCTCGAAAACATAGGTAATCATCACTAGAATGCTAACTAACCCGAAGTTAATTGTAAAAGAATTCGCAGTAGATAATTTAAAACCTCGAAAACATAGGTAATCATCACTAGAATGCTAACTAACCCGAAGTTAATTGTAAAAGAATTCAGTGTTTTTGTTAAGAAATTAAAACTGCTCTATTGAAACGTTTCTCATTTAAAAACTGACATATTTGACAAAACATTTGTGCGAGATTTATGAAAGTTTGTACGGGTACATATTTCTTTCATTACGATTGAGTTGTAATCATCTATTGAAACCAGTTAATAAATAATATTGCTCGAAGTGCTGCCCTACATACATAATTTCTTACATATATCTGGTTTATGTTGCTTAACAAAATAAAGATAGGAACTGTGTTGCTTATACTCCTCTAGCTTGCCAAATGCCTTGTCTTCTCGGCTTCTAAAGCAATTTTCATTATAGTTTGTGTGATTGTACGATAAACGCCATCACATGCTTAACAGTTGTAGAGAGAGGCAGTCGGTCGGAAATAAGATTGCTCTCGTTTATTTTTTTTCAGGCATCGTTAACACAACCTCTACGGAAATAGATGACCTCATTGCTGGGGAACGCTACGTCGTGCGAGTTGCCACCGTTAGCAACAAAGTGGAGAGCATCGAAACACAAGACCTGGAGCAAACCCTCTGTAAGCCTTTTTTGTTTTTTTGGTTTCTGGTCTTAACATTTCTTTTTTCATCCTACTGCTACCCTTTGCAAAATACCAAATAGGTATTGGGGCCGCCAAGCTTCTCACCTTTAAAGGCCGACGTACAATCTCGGTTTTCTGCAGGGAAGAGAATCCTCTTAGCGCTCCCCTCTCCTAAGTTGGCAGGGAAGTCAAGTTGGGGCAAGGTAAAAAGTGGAGAGGATATAGGAAAGGAGGAGGCGGGCAAAAGTGGAAAGCGCGAAGTGTACGTCGGCCTTTAACGCCAAAGTTGCTGACAAATCCTTGATCAATTCTTCAACCGAGTTAATAACTTTACGTCACAGATCAAATGTTCTACGTGTCATATGTACGGAGTACCTGGAAGTTAATGTGTGTAATATCATGCTCATCAGCCCAACCGTAAAAGAGGAAGCCTTCCATTCACCATTTCTTCTCTCGTACAGATCCAAATGCGATCAAGCACGTAAGGCACTTCTTGGACTCCCAGAACATCACCTTCGAGTGGATGGTGCCGACAGGTCGTGTGGACTACTACATCATTGTCTACAATCCCGTGAGAGATTCGCAGGCGCAAAAGTCACACCAGGTATGATCACGCGTGGGCCGTCTAGTTATGCAATCTTTTACTATAATCGTTATGATAAGAACTGATGAGTTTGGGGTGACACTCTAAAACAGTACTATATGAAAATTGTAAAACGTTTTAAGCATACTTATTCATCCTTTAAAGATTTCTGACACAACTGCAGCTTATGATACAGTAGTGAATTTACAATGCATATAGGTATTTGAGAAGAATCATAAGGTACGTATGAATGACAAATAATAAGTCTCAGGAGAAAATGTAAGGATACTCTTCACAATATTTTAAGCATAATCTATATTGGTCCTCACACATTGATTTTCATCTTACTTGCTGGATCACATTCCAATGTGTATCGGGTGATCTTTCAAATCTACCGTCTGGTCAAAACCGACAGCCCATTTGAGAATGCTCAACAGTGCTATAGCTTTGCCACCGGACAAGCATAAACGTCGTTACATGGTGCACTGCTCTGTTCTCGAGTGTAAACATAATATGACAGCTTTATGGCTCTTTCGCAGTATGTGACTGAAGAGACAGTGAATGTGCAGGTAACCCAGTGGTAGTTAATCCAATTGTGTAAGGGGTCGGGCAGTCTCACATCGCATTTCTGTTGTTCATTCTTCCACAGGTGCCCGCCAACACGACGCGCACGGGTGACAACATCAACGTCATCATTGAGAACCTCAAGCCAGGAGAGCTGTACGCTTTTCGCCTCTATGCCGTCAGCCATGACGTTCGAAGCGAGGGGATCGGGGTACAGACGAGGACCAGTGAGTGCTCTGCACTGTCCCTTATATGTGAAGAACTTGGGTTACAATAGCTTTTTGCTTTATATATCAAAATGCTAAAAAACACTTCTCTTACAAGCGGAAAACCTCAGATATGAGAATTTGCTGTTGGTATAACAAATCCAACACAGAAAAGTCGGCAAATTTGGCATTCCTGATAGCGCACATGATCCGTGGAAATTTCTTTGAGACATTGCGATGTTCCGTAAATGTCCTAAAGACATTCATAGTCATCTGCCATAAGAAATAATATGCTGCGTAGTCCAATGCAGCACTTTGTTGGGTAAGTAAGAAATTCCAACCAATAATTAATTCCTATTATTGTAGTAAACACGATAGGAAAAAACAAAAATATTTTCATTGCTGACCTTATTCTGAAAACCTTGTCAGGACGTCGCAACTTCCCACTGACGTCTAAGAAACGTCCACGTGACCATCTGTTCTGTCTGGGATAAGCATTCTGCTGCACAATTGTACACTTCTGTGCACCAAATTCTGTACACATGGTTCTGTGCACGGTATGCCCCACCGTCCCACGAATGTCCTACGGACATCCACGGAACCAGTTGTTCTCTCTGGTAAAATAATTGCACCATGTAAGTGTAGATTTGCACGAAGAAAATGCGGAGTCTCTTTGAAAAGAAAGCAGGGACATTGTGCGTTTCGATTCCGCGTCCGCAGTGCCCGTCATCGACTCGGTGATCAACATTGTGGCGGACGAGCACGAGACCCGCACCCTTGGCATCAAATTCACACCGACGCCGCAGCGTCACGTGGTGTTTGACCGGTATCGGTTCCAGCTGAGCGACACGGGCATCCCGGCCCAGGAAAAGCTGTCCAACGACACCAACCGCCTGGTGCTGTTCGACAACCTCGTGCCGGGCCGCTTCTACAACATCAGCATCTGGACCATCAGTGGCGGCGTCTACAGCGTCCCCATCTACCGCCACACCAGGCTCTGTAAGTCACCGCTGTACGGCAGCAGTTGTACGTTGGAAAGTTTCCGCCTAAACGCAAAACTGTGTGCACACCGGAAGGTCTGTCTGTCGTGTCTCTCTGGGGAACTGTATTTGCTTTATTTGTGCAGTGTTTCGCTTTGCCTGGGCTATTTATTGTTTCGAAATTTGACACTGCCGGAGGAGGCCACTGTCGGTCGCTCCTTTGGTGGCGGCAATTGGAGTACTAGCCGCCTCTTTGGATTCAGGCTCCGTACGGGTGGTTCTCATATGAGCCCGTTCACATTTCTACCTTCTCGTTTTTGCCTTCTCATTTCAAACCAGCGTAAAACAACTTTCGCGTTTCTCCCTTTCTCATTTAAACCGTTCTCAAAACAAACTTTCAGGTTTTGACCCTTCTCAAAACGACTTTTCTCATTTTAACCTTTCTCATTTCATATTTTCTCAAAACATACTTTCTGGTTTTTACCATTGTCAAAAAGACTTTTCTCATTTTAACCTCTCTCATTTCGAACCCAAATTAATCCAACATCATGATCTCGCAATCTTTCTGCGGTATTTATGGCAAATTCGGGTAATTAATTGCCTTCGAGCCCTTGCCAGTGGCACCGGCGACCAAAAACGCGCCAGCGGCGCATCACATCTCCACCCGAATGCAAAGCACAATGAACTGGCACTTTTATTTGACTGGGTCGCGAGTGAGCTCTGTTAACTTCTTCTATGGTACCATGAGCACGCTGCATACACCAACAACATAAATTACGACTCTTTGAGATGTGTGTAAACAGAAGCGGCTTCACAAAACTTTTCAAAATGTTGGCATTACCACAGTCCGTACAGCTGACAGAATATTAAAATATAAAATCAATGAAAGGGCAGATGTATAAATCAGTGTGGTGCTGCCCGCACGCGCGTCAAATTTCAATAAACTTTGTTTGGATTTTCGATCAACTGTTGCCACGGAGGCTTGCCAGCGTCGCTTTCCATATTCTGTTTACTGTTAGTAGAGAGTTTTTGTAAATCGTTCCCATGACTCCGATAACGATACCCGATACTCCGCCACCGCCTCCCTTGCGCATGCATAGTATCGTTATCGGGGCTATCAGAACAATCTACTCAAATTTCTAGTACCTTTTTTGGAATCCTCAGTCTTCTCATTGCACCCACCCTCCTTGAAATTGTAATGCTTGTTCAAGTTTCAAACTGCATCACTATGCATACTCTTTTTTCAGCGGTGTAATACCTTGTTATTACAGAGTTGTAAAATAAAGTGATGTATGATGCAGCCCATGTCTCAGAACAAACATACCTTGCTCAGGCTGGATAAATTCTTCCAAAAATGTTGACTTTTTTTGAAACATGAATTATCTTTCTCTTCGTTGTTTTTGCTATCTTGTCTCAGAGCACAAAAGGGTGCCTGTCTCAATGGCTTTGTTTGCCACTCGAACCCGCTATTTGCCGCCTCAGCGAGCATTGTTTCGTTTGGTTCCCTATCCCGATTCGGATGTGACGATACCAGATACAGTCTAACAGACAAGCTGCCCGACCTCTTGGAGCTCGGGAAAAGTTCTGCAGGTAAATTGCCGGTACACGCCTGAGAAGCGCAACCCGAAAAGCTTGCATCCGCCAGCCTTTGACCACGCGAACGCTCTTGCCGAAGATATATGAAAACTTTTTTTCAGGGAAAATGACCATCCGAATTGGCCTTACAAGCAATAACACACGACTAGCACAATGATCCATCCGCTTCAAACGACGACATCTTAACGACATACAGCGATAGAAGAGAAATGAAGTACCGAATTTGCGCTAGCACTTTTGAAACCACGTCACCATGTGACCACGTAGCTACGCCAACAGACTCGGGGTGGCACGCAGGCATAAGGAAAATTGTTTCATGTGCTATGCAAGAGATGGTGCCGCTTCGCTTCATCTTCAACCTTCATCCTCAACTGTTTTTCCTTCTTTCTATAGACCTTTCCAGCGGCAGTCTCGAACGAAGTGAGTCACAGCGCGCGTGTCCCTGGTTTTGAGAGTGTACGTCAGTGTTGCCCGACTGCACTGAGCTGTGGAGTTTCTCGTCAGTGGGCTGTGGCAGCCTGCGTTGGCACAATTCCGGACGCTGGTGGCGGCCGAATTGCCGCGTTTCTTTTTTATCTTGTGTTCTGTGGCGAGCATAATTTATAGAGGTCTTTAAGAAAGCGGTGCTCTATTTTTGGGAACAAAAACAAAGAAATGAAAGCTGTTTTGGTGAGTCCGTGCGCGACAGAACAAATGCAACTTAAATGTTTGTTTCATTTTATGTTCATTGTTTTACAGCACCGTACACTCAGCCGTCTCAATCTATAAAGGTCAAAATATTTGACCACACAGGATATCCGTACTGCATGGATATTCCCCGCCCACAACATAAAATTCAATGAGTCTCATCAATCGAACAAAAAATATATTGTAAATACCCCTCGGTGCCGCGTTATCCGAACAGGATTTGAGAAGGTCTCAAATAACACAGCATATCTAATATACAGTGTCGACGATAGTCACTTCACGACGATCGGATGGAATCCGGCGTGTTTTGGGGAACATGTAGAAGAGAGCTCCTTTTTTGCACAGCTTCATAGCAAATGAACAAACGTGTCTATTCCGTCGCCACACCCCGGACCCGACCCTATCAGCTAGTTTTTTCGAAGACCCGGAACACAGCCTGGAAGGCTTTTTGGAGATTATCTCGACGGAAATAATCCTCCAAGCACGTCGAACTGCCTGCGTCGCGGGCTGCTTGACGTTCGCTCTCTTCGTTCGTTTCCTGCGAAGGCCGAGTGGGCTGCGAGCCCTGGTATTCCCTGGTTCTCACAGTGGAAGATAACATACAAAGGGTAAGCATCCTAAACAGGCGAACAAAATAAGAACTTCCAAGAAAAGCCGCCGAACTCCAAATGCAAAATGCAGGTGGGGAGTCACGCTGACCGGGTTTCCACAGCTCAGGCCGGTTTTCTGGCTGATAGGGGTCGCTCGATTCGCAAAATGGCGGCGGCCAGAGCGCTCTTTTTGCAAAGGTCTATACCTCACTACGGTGTTCAAATGACAACGGGTTCAAATGAGAAAGGGTTGAAACGCGAAAGGTTAAAACGCGAAGGGTGTTTTGCGAATGGGTTCAGACGAGAAGGGTTCAAATGAGAATGGGTTCAAATGAGACGGGTATAAATAAGAAAGGGTCAAAACGCGAAAGGTTAAAACGAGAAGGGCGTTTTGCGAATTGGTTAAAACGAGAAGGGTTCAAATAAGAATGGGTTGTTTCGAGATACACCCCTTCGTACACCCCTCAGAATTGAAATTAGAGGATGAGAACTCGCCATTCAATGCAGACGTTTTGTAAAGTATACCTCCGGTTCAAAGTCTGAGACTGCCAGAATGTTGATTGGAAGCAGACACGCGAAAATAAAGCTGAATAAAAGAAAGGAACAACTTTTCGGCCTCAGTGTTCCCCTGTGATGTTTTTTCATTTTGGACAGCCTGCAAGCACTCAACATACTTCCGTTAAATAGTTAAAAAGAAAACTCTGTGCATATGATTATTTCTAGTGCTCCTTTACAATGAAAAGACCACTGAGGTACGTCTTTTGAAAAGAAAAACTCGACCGCGGAAGGGGGAATGATTTATTAATGACGTGCCATCTGTTTATTCTTATTATTGATGAAAGTTGTTGGCAGCTCCATTGCTAGGTTCTAATATACAGCCCTTGCATGCTGCTATAATAAATGTTGTAGCATGCTGCAGCATTTATGTGCAGTGCACTGCACTGCATTAATGCTGCAGTGTCTAGATGTGGTCATATGGCAACAATGCATTTCCCTGATCACCTCTCCAGATTTTGCACTTTTTATATGCAGGTTATTAATGCCTCCATTTTGTTACCTCCAATTTACCTCTTCTCTTTTTCGTGCCTTTACAGACAAATGTTTCGTAGCAAGTCAACCACTTTGCGCATTGCTTCTTTTCATTACCGTATTTATTTGAATATAAGGCGAGGTTTTTTTCCAAAATCCGTAATCTCAAAGTCATACCCCGCCTTATATTTGAAGCTCTGTAGAGCAATATGACGATTTTTGTTCTTTTTCTTGGGTCCTTCAACTGCCCCCTCGCCTTATAATCGTGACCGCCTTATATTCAAATAAATATGGTATGTTTGACATTCACATTTTATTTTATCATACGAGCTTGCTTCATCCCGTCCTACGACTATAGGAGCAGGGCAGTAAAGACTGCACAGACAGCTAGTGTCATTTAGCATCATTTGACTTGTATTTTTGAGCCATATGGTCACATTTATTTAACATAATCTCAGACTGAAGTGTCCGGGTTCGCCACCAGACCACAACACTGCGCTCATGCACAATCGTCCGGCGATAGTTACTGGTAAAAAAATTTACTGTTTTGGGCACCGACTGTGCTTCATTAAGCTTTACGACGGGCTGTAGAGGATGCTACGAGCCATATCAAAGCCAGTCCAATGCCCTGCGAGCGTCACATGACCTTTGGGAGGATGGCAGTGACATGCATTGTCACGTGAAACTAGCTGGATAGGCTGGTACGACTTATAGCGTCCACTGCAGTTTATCCTAAGTCGAAGCAGGGTGTGTCAGCTGACCGCGTAACACCTCTCCTCCACTTCCCCGGAGCTTGATACAAATCCCTGCTTGCAGTTCCGGACCCGGTGAAGGACATCAAGGCCCTGACGGTGACGGACACGGCCATCTCGCTGGTCTGGGAAAGTGCCACGGGGGACCGGGACGGCTACGAAGTGCAGTACCTGGACCACCGGGGCACCCTGGTGCAGAACTTCACTCTCACCGAGCGCATCTCCCACACCCAGCTGCGGCCCCACCACAACTACACCTTCGTGGTGGCCGTCATGAGCGGCTACGACACCTCCACCGTGCGACGCAGCCTCCCCGTCTCCCGCACCTTCCAGACCCTCGAGTCGGGTGAGCAACGCAAGATACAGGATGCACCCCCAAAACATTTACAAGTTTTTTGTTTCGTTTTTCCGCAAAAAAAGTGAACTATGCATTGCTGAAGTTTCTTGGTTCGAACCAGTTGCCAAAGGTTCAGAACGAACAATTATCCTATTCAAAGGCTATATGTGATTTTCCGAAATTTTGGAGCCCTTCAAAACATGGAGCTAAGTACTAAGAAGGGGCCCCATTTTTTCATTCAAATTTTCAGAAAATCAGTTGTAGCTTTTGAACGGGGTAGCTGTTAGGTCCGAAAATTTGGCATCAGGTTCGGGCAGTGGTCGAGCGTTCGGTGATGTGTCGTTTGTTTAGTTATGCTGCGAAAAAATCCCTGTCAGTTTTTGGGGGGATATGCTGTAGGAATCATATTTGTTTTTTTGTTTATTTTAAACTTGAAACCATACAGAATTGTTTTGGAGCTGCAGGACAATGCAACAGTAGAAGTCACCTGACTAGGCCTCTAGCGCCAGACAGTTATCAGACAGTTACCACTAGCAGTTATTTTCTGAGCAGGTGTACGTTGTACTCGTGTGATGTAGGGATACTGGCAATATCTGTCAGCAGACACATTTTCTAATGCTGAAATAGAAACTTTTCATTTTTAAGGGCGACATCTCAAGGTTTCAGTTTCACTCTTAACTTAAAATTTGCCTCTCGAAGTGACTGTTGTATTAAAAACAAATTTTTGAAGTACCTGAATGGGCCGCTTGTATCACAAATAAAATCCTCCCCCCTTTCTCTCCCCCTCCCCCACCTCGAAGAAAAAGGAATTTTTACTTCAATATTTTATTGTTGCAAGACATATTTTGTGTTGGGAGCAGAACCAAAACTAACTTCGATTTCAAGATGTCAACCCTGAAATTAGTAATTAGTCTCACAAAATGTTTTCCTGAAACATGAATACTGCAACACCTTTTTTTTTTCTGTGGAAATTTTATCTTGCAGCGTATGTATCCTATTTAGCCACTCCAAAATTTTTTATGGGAATCAGTGTTCCTTTAAGCCAAGCAAAACTTGAATTTTTGGCTGTTGAGAAAAATGAGACTGTTAAATCTGGACATTTTGTTTCCTAGTAGCTTGAAATTATTTCAGTATTATCTGCGGCTCAACTAATAAATTCATAGCAAACTGGGAATAATAAATACTGAAAAAGAATCATACTTAGAATCTAGGGGTGTGCTTAACTCACCCAACAAAGTTCCCAGCCACCCTTAGGGACCTTTCTCTTGATTGCTAAAGGAGGAATATTTAAAATATTTAGAGAACCTCAATCAAAATAAACAGCGTTAATACCATTTTTCATTGCCACACAAAACAACATATAGGTGCTTAAAGCTGGCGGGAATGATCTGAAAAAAAAAAGCGGCAGCTTACATTTCGAAGAGAGCTTGGGAGCTCTAAAGAAGCCCTGTCTTTTAGCCATACTACATGCATTTCTGAAAGTTGCAGGATGTTTCTTTGCAACTCCCCATTGCTGTTTTCCTTTTTGTTATATTGACACCCTCGGCGTGACGCTTTGTTTTGCTGCAGTGCCCGGCAAGGTGCAGACCTTCGGGCCCTATGAACTGAAACCGAGCGAAATCGTGCTGCAGTGGACGTTGCCTTCGAGCGAACAGAACGGCGTGCTGACGGGCTTCAAAATCACTTACTACATGAAGGTGTGTGCAGGCTCTCTTACAACGCAGTTGACGACATGACTCAGCATAATCAAGGACTCGAAACTGATCCTCCTACTTGCTATACTCCGTCTCTCCGTAACTTTGCAAACAGCAAAGTCTATGAACTTTGACGTGTCGGAGGGAGGCTTACAACTATGCTTTATATCCCTGGCTGTGCACAGTGCTGTCGTAGCCACGGTGAGAAAAAGAGAATAGCCGCTTTTGTATAAATGCTGTGTGACAGGCTAGTCTTCGAAGGAAACAGTAGCGATGTCTACAACACACAAAAGAAGGTCTGGGTAAGAGGGAAGTTCCTCCTTTTTTTTCTTTTCCAATTACTTAGATTAAGCTCTTGCCCCCGTACCCTTGATAAGGACTGTCCCGAGCTTCGCGTCCGCCGCTCTGATTGCCTACAAGGGGCCATAGCATTTGCTCTTTGCCAAGTTACGGTGAAGCGAGGTGTTGTTGCGTACAGCATTACCAAAGTAACCCAAGCAGTCGGAGAGGAGGGAAAGAAGAAACTTCCACCTTACCCAGACCTTCTCTTTCGCATCGCAGACATCACTTTTGTTCTCCTCGAAGATTAGCCTGTCCCTCAAAGTCCGTACAAAAGCTGCTTTCTTCTCTTCTGCCAGTGACTTGCACAGCACTGCATGCAGCTAGTGAGATAGGGGTGTGCAGAGCGGTCTGAATCAAACATCGCCGTGTCATTTTGACCTTTTTGCAGTGCAGAAGACAGTCACAACACACCCGCTCCCTTCACAGTATTCAAGCTGGGAATGACACTGCATTGTCCGATTTGGACCTCTGTCCTTTCACCACTGCTCGAAACCGAACGTTGTCGGGGACAAGGAAAAACAATAAAACGAAAGGAGCAGGCTTTTCATGCCTTGCAGTTTTGCAGAAGGCTCCGTGAACTTCTAAGCTTTTTGTCGTCTAACTGGCACTCTAAGGAATGAGTAACTGCAATCATTTTATTTTAATTGGTACACAATGATTCACGATCGATCCCTTCTTCGTGGTCGGACTGAGTTAAACCATGATGCAATTCTGCGCTTGCTTATTGCGACCCTTAATTTTCTTTTGCAGGGTTCCTTGACCTACCGCCACAAACTTTTCGACCCAACCGAGACGAGGGGCACTATTTCCAACCTCATTCCAGGACGGACCTACGTTTTCGAGGTAAAGCCTATGAAAATTCCTATCAGGAATTTTATCGTAGAGCCGACCCCTTTCGATGGATTCCGTGCTCGCCCATAACCAACGCATCTTTGTTGAAGGAATTTGTTTTTCTCGTTTCATATCATTGTTTTTCCTTCTTTGTTCGAAAACGTGACATTTACAACTTCGTATCTTTGTTTGAGGAGAGCTGCATCTGCCGTACTGTCTGGTGCATGAGTCACATCTTTTTATTGCAGGTTTCTGTTGGTATGACTTAAATCAATTTGTTTTTATAATGATGAATTGTGTTTGCAAGATCTAGGCCATATTAACATTTGAAACAAAAGTGGAATGTCGGAATACCTGCCAATGACCTGCTTTTTCAGCAGTCTGAAGATGGTTCGAAGCATAGCGACGTAGGTGCACGGATGCAGCAACTTCGTGCGCCGTCCTTCGCAGCTCACCATAGCTATGTAAAGAAATTCAACTTGTATACCAACTTTTTTGTGAAAAACAACTGTTTAAAGGGCACTGCAAGCTAATCAGTGGTGTGAATTGTGAACCGGAAAACAAGTTAATTGGATTTTAATTGCATGTTTTCAATTTCAGATTCAAGCTCACACTAAGATTGGACCAGGAGGCAAGGGGAAATGGGAAGAAACCATGCCAATCTGGGGTATGAGTTTTATTCTTTTTCCCTTTGACTGTCGTGTCATTTGAAACCAGAAACATACTGATGCTAATTAATTAATTAAGGCTAATTATAATAACGACGCTAGCGTAACATCAATGAAAAACACTTTGTTTCTACCCAGCCTCGCATATCTTCGTAGGATTCCTAGCATTGATCTTTTTCACAAAATCTTCCCTCACAACACTGTACTCGGAAATCAGCTGATAACCCCCCTCCCCCCCATTATCTGTTTCTTCACATCTGAATCACCGTTGTAAAGTGGGCGTCCCCTTTTGCCACTCTAACAAATGTTTCGCATGATTTATCCCTAGAGTTTAGAATTAATAGGATCATCTACTTGTATCGCTTACATAAATTGTTAATTGTGTTCTTTTTTGTTACAGTGTTCCGAATCATGTATTCCCCATTGTTTAACTATTTTGTATTTTCCACTTTTATTTTGCTTGTTCTCTCATTTAGAGTTCGTAGAGACCTTCCACCACTTACGGGAGACGTTAAGCACTGATAGGCTTGAAATGTTAACTGCAACTGCCTCTTCCTTCGGAGAACTTCCCAACTTTCCAGACAACGTCAAGTTCTACGTTGAACTTGCAAATCCAAAACTTTTACTTTTCTTAAATGTAGGAAACTATGAATGTAGTATTGCAGGCCAGGACTCTGGCTTGCGGAGCTTTGAAATAAATCGATTTTTCTCCGATCGAGAAATTACAAGTTTGTCGAGAACATTGGAGAAAAATGGAATACTCCGGCCAATTAGTAAAACCTAGCATCGTTGCTACACACCGCGTTTGTGAGTTTTATTTTATGCTCTTCCCCTAATACTGGGAGCATCCTGTCCCAAACAGGTCTTGTACAGAGCTCGTTTCACGAGCCAGGAAACAATTCAGGCATGTCTAGATCATACATATTTGATTAACTTGTCGGTACACACAATGTGCTGTGAATGAGCTGTGCACATGCCATGTATGTGTGCGTGGCATCAAGTGATGTCATGAGGTCATGTTACACCATAACATTGTGTGACTTCACATTACATCAAAGAGTCGCTGAACATCAGGGTTTTACGTACCACCCTGACGTCAAGGTCATGCGATCATTACAGACCCTATGGGGCTATCTTGTTTACATTACCTGAACCTTTGAGTAGGTCAAGCATAATATGTTGCTTTTTCACGAAAATTGTATTCTGTGCTGAAAGTTTGCTTTGCGCGTCCCTTACGCAGCCCCGCCCCGGCCCAACGATTCAGTCTTCCCGACATCCGTGAGCCACACCTCGACGACGATTCGCGTGGTGTTCCGCAAGAACTACTTCACCAACAGCCACGGGCCGATCCACGCCTACACGCTCATCGTTGCCGAGGACGACTCCAAAGAGTCCAACTTTGCAAACATGCCCACCTGGTCCGACGTGCAGAGCTACCACAACTGGCCGCCTTATCAGGTGAAAAATGCCAAGACCCCGCTTCCTTCACCTCTCATTCTTTGTCGACGGGATGCGTCATTCTCGTAAAAATCGGATTGTAGGAACCGGAATTTGCCGTAGTAAGCCAGTCAGTACTGATACTGATAGCTGGTACTGATAGAATATGGTTAACATTGCCTGTGCAAAGACAGTAACAGAGAAGAGGAGAGAAGGAAAAGCGCGCTCATCCATCGTCTATACGTATTTCTCTCCTTTGTTTGTCTTTTTGTGTGTGACGCTAATCATGTTCAGAATTTATGCATTTGTGTTAATTGATTTGTATGTGCTGTAAATAGCTTTAATTTCATGGGCTCAACGTTTTGCGACTTTTGCCAAGTGTGGGTTTCGGGAATATTCTGCGGGCAAGAAATTTTGCGACTGGGAGGGATATGCCATGTATTCGTAACCACGGTGATTTGTTCGCACGATCAGTTTTTTGCAACAGGTGTGAAGTCTCGAAAATTGAGCCATTTACAGTGCATGTCTGTGTACATCACTATAAAGGCCCTGAGCTGTTGGGAAGCACAAGAAAAATAAACATTGATTGATTGACATTTTTTTCTCAGAACTCACATTTTAATTTGAAAGCTTGAACTCTGGTTTGATGGGAAGTTTATCAAACTCAAAATGGAATCCAGGTCTTATCATTTCATTTCTTTCACTTTTTAATGCATTAGCATTAGAATGCTCGTTTTGACGAAAACCCGGCGGTGTCTTTCGTTTGCCAGCGCCGGGGAGAAAGGGAGGAGGAGGGGGAGAGGGAGATGCGTGCAACGCTTTCACTGGTCCGAAGCGCTGTCGTCAGCATGCATCAACCTCTCCCTCTCTCCTCGGCACTGACAAACTGACAGCCACCGCCGGGTTTTCATTGCAACGAGCCCTTTCGTTTTCATCAAAGTCACGCTTACAGCATTCGCTCAGGGACGCGCCGCACCGTTGCCACTCAGTTGCCACTCTGCTGTCGCTGGTTCTTCTTCGCTCTGGGTTTGTGTAGTGGCAGTGCATGGGCTGGTGATATGTGTGTGTGTGTGTGTGTACTTAAAATGATGGATGCGGTTCCCTCCACGAGTGAGATGGACACTGTTTCTTCCACGAGTGGTATGGATGTGGTTCTTTCTGCGGGTGGTATGGATGACCGTATCCAAGGGTGCCGGCGTACTATGTCAGGCAGAGAGTACAGAAAAAGGTTGAAAAAAATTTCAGGAAGATACATTGGTGGATTTTTAGAAAATCCGTGAGAATGACCCTTGTGAAACGCTACACACGTCACGTCCCCCTTTGGGAAACGCCAACACTGACCCCGTAACAGGGCCAAAAAGAGGCAGTAAAAAGTAGGGGAAGCAAAAGAAAAAGCCAAAACAAAAAAAGTGAAGGCATCGGCGTTAGCGATTCCCAAAGGGGGTTGTGTGTGTGGCATTTCCCAAGGGTCATGTTAACACATTCCCTAAGATTCCACCAATGAATCTTCCTGTAAATTTTTTACAGCAGAGCTGTTAAGGGCTAATTTTCCCAGTTTCACGTCCGTCACCAAATAAATGTCGACACAAAAAATTTCTGGACAGCTACCGCCATCTATAAGCGACATCAGCAACCAGGAAACCGGCTTGCCAATTGTCTGGTTGCTGCCATCGCTCATAGATGGCGTCACCCTTTCCAGGCCTTTCCACTCTGGTTTTCACCGGAGTGGAAAGGCTGAATTTCTCTTGGCGTCGTCCTCGAGGTCGTTCTAGAAGTTGTCTTTGAGGTCGTTCTAGACGTTGTCCATGAGGTCGTCCTCGAGGTCGTGTCCTTGAAGTCGTCCTAGACATTGCCCTCGAGGTCGTTCTAGACGTTGTCCATGAGGTCGTCCTCGAAGCCGTGTCCTTGAAGTCGTCCTAGACATTGCCCTCGAGGTCTTCCCAGAAGTAGTCCTTGAGGTCGTCCTAGACGTCATCCCTGAGGTCATCTTAGGCGTAGTTTTTGAGGGCGTCCCTGAGTCGTCCTAGGCGTCCTCCTCGAGGTCCTCCTAGAAGTCTTCCGTGAGGTCCTCCTAGATGGTGTTCTAGATGTCGTCCTCTAGGCGTCGTCCTTGAGGTCGTCCAAGAAGTTGTCCTTGAGGTCGTTCCACCATAGCACAGCTTTGCTGGTCTTCCTTCTTCACCAGAGTGGAAAGGCTGAAAGTTTTTTTTCTTCTCTTAAAGATTTAAATTCAGATTTGAGATTGAAAAATTTTTGTTGTTTTTTTCATTATCAGTTTTAAGATTTGTGTTATTTCAGGTACTTCTCATTGTCAGTGCAAGCAGAAAGTATATCTTCCTGGCCTCTACAGAAATTGAACGCATTGAAACTCTGCAGTTCAAATGGCCCATATGATGGGCACGATGCCTTACTGACACTTCAATGTTGTATGACACCCACTCTGTGTGTTTACGGACGGAACATCCCGTCGTCCCTTTGGGAAACGCCAACACTGACCCCGTAACAGGGCCAAAAAGAGGCAGTAAAAAGTAGGGGAAGCAAAAGAAAAAGCCAAAACAAAAAAAGTGAAGGCATCGGCGTTAGCGATTCCCAAAGGGGGTTGTGTGTGTGGCATTTCCCAAGGGTCATGTTAACACATTCCCTAAGATTCCACCAATGAATCTTCCTGTAAATTTTTTACAGCAGAGCTGTTAAGGGCTAATTTTCCCAGTTTCACGTCCGTCACCAAATAAATGTCGACACAAAAAATTTCTGGACAGCTACCGCCATCTATAAGCGACATCAGCAACCAGGAAACCGGCTTGCCAATTGTCTGGTTGCTGCCATCGCTCATAGATGGCGTCACCCTTTCCAGGCCTTTCCACTCTGGTTTTCACCGGAGTGGAAAGGCTGAATTTCTCTTGGCGTCGTCCTCGAGGTCGTTCTAGAAGTTGTCTTTGAGGTCGTTCTAGACGTTGTCCATGAGGTCGTCCTCGAGGTCGTGTCCTTGAAGTCGTCCTAGACATTGCCCTCGAGGTCGTTCTAGACGTTGTCCATGAGGTCGTCCTCGAAGCCGTGTCCTTGAAGTCGTCCTAGACATTGCCCTCGAGGTCTTCCCAGAAGTAGTCCTTGAGGTCGTCCTAGACGTCATCCCTGAGGTCATCTTAGGCGTAGTTTTTGAGGGCGTCCCTGAGTCGTCCTAGGCGTCCTCCTCGAGGTCCTCCTAGAAGTCTTCCGTGAGGTCCTCCTAGATGGTGTTCTAGATGTCGTCCTCTAGGCGTCGTCCTTGAGGTCGTCCAAGAAGTTGTCCTTGAGGTCGTTCCACCATAGCACAGCTTTGCTGGTCTTCCTTCTTCACCAGAGTGGAAAGGCTGAAAGTTTTTTTTCTTCTCTTAAAGATTTAAATTCAGATTTGAGATTGAAAACTTTTTGTTGTTTTTTTCATTATCAGTTTTAAGATTTGTGTTATTTCAGGTACTTCTCATTGTCAGTGCAAGCAGAAAGTATATCTTCCTGGCCTCTACAGAAATTGAACGCATTGAAACTCTGCAGTTCAAATGGCCCATATGATGGGCACGATGCCTTACTGACACTTCAATGTTGTATGACACCCACTCTGTGTGTTTACGGACGGAACATCCATTTTCTTGCAGGTGACGGAGCCGTACTACCCTTTCAACGGCACCCTGACTGAAGACTTCACCATTGGATCCGAAGACTGCAAGACTGACAAGGGGTACTGCAACGGGCCACTGAAAGCTGGCTCATCCTACAGAGTCAAAGTGCGCGCTTACACCGCCCCGGACAAGTTTACCGACACCGTGTACTCCTATCCCATACAAACAGGTGAGCGACCAGTATCTTTATCCCTTTGTTTTATCAGAAATTGGAAGACAGTTTGTGTGGCTGCAATCCTGTACAAGTCACGATTGCAACAGATCACAGCACCATTTACCTATTTATTTATCTGTTAATAAGGATGTCCATACATTTATTGCTAAAGCCATTTAAACAATATATCCCATATTTACTCGCATAATGAATGCACCCCCCACAATGGGCATCAATATCTGGACTTTTTCCTTTTTCTCGCGTAATGAACGCACTTTTAATTTTCGGCTCCACGAGTCTTGAAAAAATTTTCTTTTGCCGCTAAGTGGCCGTAGCCAAGTCAAGCCAAGCCAAGCTGCTCTGCTAAGGGCTGCAGTTGTGTGGTTGCGGAAGTGATCAACCGTGAAACCGAGCGGCACGCACGCCCTGCGAAGCTGGGGTCGAGGAATTGCCCAGCCCCAGACGTGCTTCATATCTTTGAGTTGCATTGATGTCAACAAACACGCCATCATCTGTGATCCGCTTTCAGACAGTGATATCACGAAAGTGGTTAGGCCTAAGAACGGTCGCATCGCTTTCCGTGCTGAGCGAGCTTTGTAGCAGGGGGGTAAAGGTGGGTGAGGAGGAGTGGCAAATCCCGTGCGCCGACACCCGGGGTCCCGAGTGAACGATCGCAAAAGAGAGCGACAGAACACGAGAGAAAGAAAGCAACGTTGCCATGGTAAACGCGAAGAGTGAAAACTCTCAGCAATATAAACAGTGATAATTTAATGTTGTAAACTAAATTCTGAGCCATTCCAACGCTTATAAAAAGCAATAAAGTCATTACGCTGCATTAACTTCCCTTCTGTCGAAATCTGGGAAATCTGATGGGTGCGCAGTTTCGTATTCCTAAACCGCGCCCACCGGCGAAGCCGGGTATATGGTTTAGTTTAGCGTTAACGCGAGGCCGTACATCTGCGCGCTATGCAAAAAAAAAAGCTTCGAAAGGAACGCGAATATCTTTCCACCGGTAAGTTCATGGATTGTTGAAGTTCACGAAACTGCTCTGATGATGTAACCGTGTTTGGGACCCCGAGGGTCTGCTTGCATGATCCGCCGCTTGCGGCAGCCAGAATGTATGGGAAAATGGCGGACCTTTTCCTCTAGAGTTAGTATGTATGATCTCTATGCTTTGTAGGGCGCTTTTTCTTCAGCACAAGGCACGCCATAAGCGCCCTAAAAAAGGTTCGCAATTTGTAGAGTTTGGTTACTGTCGCATGCCCACGACCAGCCATGGGTGCACCTCTGTCAGTGAAGACATGCCACAGTAGCCTGCACTGTCATAATGGCACCTAAAATGACATTCGTGCAAAGTTTGTAAATGCAAAAATTTTGCCCCGTGTAATGAATGCAGCCCCCAAATATGTGTCAATTTTTCACAAAAAAAGTGTGTTCATTATGCAAGTAAATACGGTACTAATAGTGGAACAGAGAAGCTGATATGCATTGAATAGGGTGGTCACCTTAAATATATGGTTACTCCTTTTAAATGTTAGAAAAATATTTTTGGAGAATTCATATCATGTGTAAATGTTAGTCACTGCCTGATAAAAAAAGAAGCTTATTTTGAATTAAAAATTTGTTTTCTTAGAAGAATCCTGTTGCTGAAATCATCTATTAAGCTATGTTTATTGGTGTAGAAGCTACCCAGCTCCTTATATGGCACATAAACTTTTGCCATTGTGCTTCTTAGTCGGCTTCATTGGTACTTGTGGTAGAATCTCTGTACAGTAAATTGAGATAAAATCAAAATATAATTATTATTTAAATACGCCTGCAAAGTGGAAATATAGGGGGCGAAACTAATGATAAATACTCAAGATCCCAGTTTTAGAGCCATCGTTACTACAAGAATGGCCCAACCCGGGGGATCGGTGGCCGAATGTGTTCATACACCGTGGCTCGGAGCACGTGGAGCAAAAGCTCGCGCTTCAGAACCCAAGGATCTTGGGTTCAATCCCCACCCCTGCCCACGTCAATTTGGGTGGCCAAGGTGGGGTGTGTATCACTACTGTGTGATGGCGGTGGCACTGCACTGGCTAAATTTCTTATCTACAACATAAGCTAGTGTCGCCTCACCTCAGTGAACCAATTTTATTCCTTATGCGCTAGAATCTGGGAAAAAATGCATCCGCGGATATTGACAGGAAACTCCCCATTGGTCGTGGCAAGTATGAATAAATAAAAAGAGGGGGCAACCAGCATGAGTCAGTCTTCCTTGGTATTATTAGATAGTGAGGTCCTGATCCCTTGTTATCATCTCTAGACATTGTCTTCGAGGTCATCCTAAGCATCGTCCTAGAAGTCGTCCTAGACTCCGTACCCGAGCTCGTCCTAGAAGTCGTCCTGGAGGTTATCCTAGAAGTTGTCCTTGAGGTCGTCCTCTAGGCGTTGTGATTGAGATTGTCGTACAGCCTAACCGGTAAATCCCGTCGCCTCCGCTTTTGCAGATCCAGACAACACTCCGCTGATCGCCGGAATCCTCGTGCCCCTCTCCCTCCTCCTCATCCTCGCGCTCCTCCTTGTGGTTCTTCGCCGACGGAGGGTCGGACCGTTTGCACTCCATCGCGCAAGCGACCCTCACCGGACCAAGGACGATGCCGTGTCCATTCCCGAGAGCGAGATGGTCACCAGCCGCCCCGTAAAGCTCAAGGACTTCCTCGACCACTACCGCATCATGTCCGCAGACTCGGACTTCCGCTTCTCCGAGGAGTTTGAGCTGCTGAAGCATGTCGGAAGGGACAAGCCCTGCGGGGCAGCGGATCTTCCGGTGAACCGGCCCAAGAACCGCTTCACCAACATCTTGCCGTACGATCACTCGAGGGTGAAGCTCCTGCCGACGGATGACGAGGACGGGTCAGACTACATCAACGCCAACTACATTCCCGTGAGTGGGATTTACGCACGCGTCTTGTACCCTAGTCACGTGGGCAGCCTTAACCACGGTTAAGCCCGACCTCGGTCACACTTAACTGCTGTTGAAGATGCGCATCTAACTAGGGTAGGAACTGAATTCGCAAGGCGTCCATGACTGAACTTTCAAAAAATCTTTTTTCAAAGTACTTGGATAGGACGTGTATGTCACCAATAAAGCTTTCTCCTGAAATGAAAGAAAAAAAAATATTGGTGTTAATATTGTTGTTGCCAGACTCGTTTGAGCAATTCCAAAACATGCTTCTATTTCGGATCCTATCCAAAAGTCTTGTCAAAGTCTTGTTGGCTGCGATCCAAAAGAATTGTAAAAGTCTTTCTTTCTTTTTTATTTGTTTTCCCTCAGGCAGAGCCCGAAAGAAGGACCGGTGCAGAAGGCTTTTTAAAAAATGCCTGACATGGCGCCGGTCCCTTACAGTCCACACATAAAAAATAACATGAAAATGCATTCAATCTGACAAAATAATACAACATGATAAAAACTTTTACAGAACTGAGACACACATACTTAACACATATGCAACAATCAAGGCCATATATATAAAGATAAAAAATTGCACACTGAATGCAAAAAAACGAGAATACAGATTATAATCAACATACAAAGAAAAAACAAGTCATCTAAGGAACACACAAATAACAAGTATCATTATAGTCAGCTCCCATCCAAAAGTCTTGTCAAAGTCTTGTGCTTTGGCTGCGCGAACACTTCGTTCACACACAAAGCCAAAGTACTACCAAAGGCAATGAGCACGTGCTTTTTCCAGTGCCTGGGTCAGGCACTGGAAAGAGACACCCTGCCACCCTCAGCCTGTCAGCAGAATTCTAAGTGGAGAGAATAAAAACAAAATTGAAAAATAAAGTTCTCTCCAACCTGTGCCACATGAGGTATGACAGGTTTAAGCCAATTAATAAATTAAATTAAAAATTAAGTTAAAAGCCAAATTGTTGTTTTTTTTGTAATAAATGCCAATTCAAGAAAGGGGAGAAGCGACCGACCGATTCAAGTCAGCAACCGACTTGAATGGCTCGAGCATACGCTGCATGTAGATGGGTTTAAACATTTTCACTGTGCACTCTCCCATACTCTCAATGTCTGCCAACCATCCACAGGGTTTCAACTCTCCAAGGGAGTTCATCGTGACCCAGGGGGCACTGCACAGCACCCGGGACGACATGTGGCGCATGGTGTGGGAGCAGAACTGCCGCGCCATCGTCATGCTCACCCGCTGCATTGAGAAGGGCCGCGAAAAGTGCGACCACTACTGGCCCTTCGACACCCAGCCGGTGTACTATGGCGACATCCAGGTCACCATCCTCAACGAGTCCCAGTACCCGGACTGGACCATCTCGGAGTTCAAGGTCTCCAGGGTGAGGTGCTGCCGTGCGCGTCGACGTCACTAGACCGACCTTTTGTACATGTTTGCGCTGTGCAACACCATTAACGGTAATGGAAGTGCTGCGCTACTTGTGCCGAATCGTACCATGAACGCAACTCTGCCATATGTCTAGCCAAAATGCTATTTCTGCTCAAAATTGTGCCACAGTTGCACCAAAAGGAGCTTAAAGGAAGCAAAAAAAAAAAATTTAATGTTGCTCTATGCTAATATTGAATGCAGTAGAGGAGAAGGAAAATGATCAGTGTCTCTACTCATCGTAGCTAAAATTCGCTCGTCTACCACGCTGGCTATGTCATCGTCTGAACTTCCAGACAATGATGTCGGCGATGTCACGGAGCTAGAAGTCGCGAGAAAATGTTAATGAAATGGTGATGTGGCAGCTGGTGTGACGACAGAACCAGGGTCTTGTACTCCTGATGATATAACTCGATTTTCATCTCAGCCACCCCATATGCCTCCACGCCACGGCTCTATCACTGCTTGCATTGACCCTCACCACCTTGCACGGGCGCATCGAGCTTTACCGCGTTGCATCGGTGCGTTAGGAGAAGTGGCTTAGGCGGGGGAACACCTATGGGCAGAGTCGTATATGTAGGGAGCTTGATCATTAACTGGTAAGAATAGCGCGAAAATAAGGGCACGTCATTGGCCGAAATTGTTTCAGTGACTTTGGGTGTAATGATTGACAGCTCTTGTGATCAACCACAAGCCGCAAATATTCCCCTGGCGGAGGCAGTGAGCTTGACAAATAACCTCCAGTCACAATTTCTAGGTATGGATGTATTCAAGTATTTCATTGCAGCATGCCGGAGTTGAAATTTACAACTGCTTGTAACTGAAAGGGCAATGCACGTGACATTGTCGTCACTGCAACAGTCAGAACGCACTCAATCTTAATTCTAAAAGCATTCGAGGCCGCGGCCTCGACAAAGTGGATGGTAAAAACTGCGAATTCAGATCCATGGGAGTTTTGACCCAAACCCCAAACGTGCACCCCACATTTGCAGTTTTGTCTCATGCTTCATGAAATTTGTCTCGTAAATGTCACCGTTCCTGGGTCAGTAAATACACTTAGCACCCCGAAACTCCCTTTTTCCACCAATCTCTTACAATTATGCATTTATGTATTTTCAGCCTCATCCAGAAACTAAGAATACCTGCGCCAGACTACGCGAGTCCTTTAGGTCATCCCAGCTCATTCTTACTTCACAGGTTCTTCACAGGGGGAATATGCGGCAATGTTTTTGCCGCTCCACCCCATCTCCCGCCGGCTCCTCCCATTGACCAAACTCTCTTAATATACGGCTCTGCCCGTGGACTCGGAAATTATTCTCAGTAGGGGTGGGAAAATAGCAGTTTGAATTGAATAGTACTGCATCATTTGTAGCCTTCCCAGTGCTGGGGAAATCGGCGACGTACGGGCTCTTTTTGCAGTGTTGAAGTCCAGAATGACGCAGCACTATTAGATTTGAACCGCCGTTTGCCCATGCCCTAATGCTCAGCTTTATTACAGGTCGACCTTTCTTGGTCTTGACTGTAGGTCGACCTCTAATTTAAAAGAGTGGTGTCGAAAAAGGTAAACGAAATAAGAAACGTGGACCTATATGTGAATAAGCAGACAAGGTAGTTCCCGCATAGCAGTCGATCCAAAGGACCCTTAACTCAGATTGAACTCTGGCTCTAATGCCGCTAACTCTTGCAGAATTTGAAGGGGAGGAGAGGGGGGGGGGGGGGTTTGCAGTTTATCATATTTGATACCTGAGTTTTGTAGGTTGATAAATCTTGGTGGAACAGCAGATATGCTAGTTTTGTTTTTTCCAGAATTGTACATGCTACATTAACTATCAGTTTTCAACAATTTTTTTTCTCAATCCCCGTTGTAAACAAAAACCTCGTTTGACCCAAGCCCATTTCTAAAAAAAAAAAAACAGTTGTGCGCCATGTTGTACTTTAATTTATTATTAATACATACTATAATTACAAAAGGTAATAAGTAATATACTACAATTTATCAACGATGAACCCTCAATTATTATAAAAGATTGACTGGTTTAGTGATGTATAATCGTCGTTTCATTTTCAAATGGTGTGCCAACACGTGCTGGGGTCTGCTTTAAAAGGGGTCAATGTCTGCTTTAAACCAACGTTTTTCCTGCAACAAAAAGGTCAAATGCCGCTTCCATCATCTGTGTTAAGCCCAGTTCACACACTTGCAACTGCTTACAACCGATTGCCTTAAAAGTTGAAACCCCTTGGGATCTCTTACGATGGCCGGCGCCATTTGTCAGGTAGCCATATATGCTCGCGATTTCCGTACATTTCCTTTCTTTTTTTGTGCATCATTCTTTCTCTTTGACTCTAAACATTGTTGACAGCGTTATAAATGACCCTCTCTCGTAGATGGTACGTATGTTTGGTCTCGCGAATACCGCAAAAACATTCTTTGCTCCAGTGAAATGCGGTTCCAAAGTCACCTCATAGATGGCGCTATCGTGCCGGCATGTTGCTTCCTTCGCAAGAGTCGCAAGAACTCGGTCCTGAGCGAACGCAAGTGTGCGAACAGGCCTTCACCGCAATAAGCAATTGTCTGTTTTCCTTGTTTTTCTTTAAAAATTAGAAGGCTGCCATAGAAACGGCCGTAGGGTTACTCTCGAAGCTTTTGCTTCGCTTGCATGTACAACGAGAAGTTACGTCGTATTCGAAAATGCTCGACCACGCGTTCCACAGTTTGAAAGCGTGAAATGTTAGGGCGGTCGTACGATTTTGTGAACAGACCTTTTTTGCTGCTACCAGTTGTGGCGAAAGAGGGCATCCTTTCTCCCTCTCTTCTTCTCAGGGCGACCAATCCCGAATAGTCAGACACTTTCACTTCACGACGTGGCCGGACTTTGGGGTGCCCGATCCTCCGCAGACGCTGGTGAAATTTGTCCGAGCATTCAGGGAAAGAGTCATTCCCGACACCAAGCCAATCACGGTCCACTGCAGGTGAGCCACGTTAAAAATAAATGATGTACCACTCGTTTTGAAGCGGCTGCCATTATGCCTATATCCTCGCTAAACTTTTTGTTACTTGTGCACGCTGAGAAAATTTAGCATTTGTACCTCCAGATATGATTTTTATGTGTAGCTTCTCGACATGTTGCTGTCTCATTGTCCTTGTTAATACACTAGATCGTATTATTATTATTGACTTCAAAGGGGCACAAAGTGGAGTTGAAGATTGTCTTTTTATGATGCAAAACTATAAATGTAGGGTCCTTTGTTTCTGGGGTTTTATATTTTTCATTAATCGGGGGGTAAAATTCTGGTGCTTTGTTTCAAGCTCTAAATCGGGTTTTTCAAGAAATTATTCTGAAAATCGGGTTCTCTGGGTTGTGTTTAGAAAGGTGTAAGAATAACTAACAATAGAGGGGCCTGGTCGGTTTCATGGTACGTACAAGAGCTCACTTGGACTTTTTGATTTTTCGTAATCTTTGTTCCTTACGTAATCTTCTGCATGCCCAGCATCTCTGTTTCCATCGTAGTCCTGTCCGATCTTTGGACATGCCTTAAATTAGAGCATGTACTCTCAACATCACAACTTATGCGTGCATTTGCAATGCACAAAAATCAGTTTGACAGGAACGATATATCTGCTGTCTCTTTTGAAACAAAGTTTTGAAAGAAGCTTCTTATCCTTCTCCTATTTTCTTTTTCTTTTTCTTTTTTGAGCTGGTTGAAACAGATATAAAAGAAAAAGGCATAGGATGCTTCACATAATAGACATAAAAGCGAAATTTTGGTGCTCAATGTATGTTATGGCAGTTCACCGAAGGCAAGAGAATCTAGGTTTGTTTCCGAAGTCTGGAGCTAGCACACATGTTCCCCTTTGCTTCCCAGAAAATATTTACAGAGCAGAGTGATGTGAAAAATAGTAAAATTCAATCTCCAAATTTGGGAAAAAATTGGGTTTAACCTCATATTTAAGGAATGAGTTTTGAGTGAAAATATTGGGTTGTTACCCAAAAAGGACGGACCCTAGATATGTGCGTTCTAAGCATCATAGAAAATCCGAATTTACAATCATGCATGACCTCTTTCTTTATTAAAAAAAATGTGAGCAAACATGAATTTCTCTTTTCTGAGGTATATTCAGAGAAAGGGCATAACACAATGCCTTCATCAAGTTTTTAGCAGGAAAGAGGCCATACATGATTGTAATTTCAGGTTCTTTTTAGGAAGCTTAGGGTGTAAAGACAGAATTTGCTCCGTAAAGGACAGTCTCAAAATCCAGTTTAGTGCCGCTTTAATAAATTTTATGCCGCTTGAGAATTCGTATGAAGATGAACAGAAATGAAGCAAGAGTTGGGGCTGGACCTCTTTGAAATAGTGCCGTAGAGACGTTTCTGACTCTAGCTTTTTTACTATATCTATCACAAACAGACAAACTTCTGCTTCATCATTATCACAATCGCCCAGCTATATCTCGCCACACACAGATCACTCTCGCAAAGTTTAACCGTAGGCCACAACGACAAGTCTTTTCAAACTTGTTTTTGTGCGTACTGCCATGGAGTCACCTACGCTCGTGAGCTCCAAAGTCTGAGAGCGACCGAGAGCCACCGATCCCGCGGAGCCCGATATAAACATCCATTCCCCGCTTCGCGCACAAGGAATTGTACCATATCAGAGTGAAATTCATTACCGGTGGAAGTGATGTGCTGCATTATCAGCTTTTGAAGCTGCATCAAACGGCACATAAACTCCCTTGTCCCATAGAGCGAAGGCTGTAGTCTGTAGCAGCCACCCCACAGAGAAGCCCTCTCGATGCTGGTGCAGCGACCCGGCCACTGGCAAGAGGGAGCAGCCGGCCGCAGAGCCAGCAGAGCCCACTCGCGCAGACTCCATAGAGGCCGTACGGCCGAGCTCCGCACGGCTCGCAGCTTGTAGGAATACACTACGTATACAAACACTTTTCGCAACCCGACACCTTAGGAGTCTTAAGTGTCTTTGTATTTTTTTTTATACTAAATGCATTGTAGTTCCTGCAATAATGCCTAAGGGGCGCTGGGGGCTTTTCTGGAATAAAGAGTAATGATGTCTGAAATGTTTGAGACTTGGCATGTCTAGATGCATATACAGTAGGCTCGTGATAATTAAAACTAATATTTCATACTTCCGGTTAATTCAAACAAATTTTCAAAATTTTTTGTTGTCCCACTATGTTTTTAGTATATTGGCAAGCCGCTTAATTCGAACGGCGTTTTCCTGTAATCCGGTTTTTTTATTCCCGCTGCCCCGTTGAGCACGCTTCTTACCAAGTACAGGAGCACTGCGGGGAAGCAACACCTGCGGAGTTCGCTTTCGCGGGTGCTGCTTCTCCGCAGTGCACAAGTGCGCAGTAAGAAGCACGCTCAACGGGGCTATTACGGTGGTCCGCAATAAGCAACTTTTTTGCTGGATGAACAAAATTTTGTTTTGAGGTGTCATGTGCTATCTAAACAGTTCACTCTAGACAACATTTTTGAGGGATGATTAAACTTATCCCGTACATTTCACCGATGTTTCATGTGTGGCATACCTAGTAGGTTTGTGTAGAGGAGATCATCAAATATCTGCTTTGAATGTGTAGCAATCTGTATAAGAAGTCATAATTTTATCTTGCATTATATTAGGTGAATTTCTGATCATTCAAGCTTCCGATAAATCAAACAAAATTTGGCTTCCTGGAGTTTGAAATAATGAGAGTACTGTACTAAGGTTTTGATAGCATTTGAGCGGAACACCGTCTGTCGTTTCTTCCAGTGCTGGAGTGGGTCGGTCTGGGACCTTCATAGCTCTGGACCGGATCTTACAAGGCCTGCGGAAATATGACACCGTGGACATCTTTGGCATAGTCTACGAAATGAGGCATGAGAGGGTCTGGATGGTCCAGAATGAGGTATGCTCCCTCTGCTTCCAGACCAAACTGGGCTCAAGCGTGTGCATGAAAGGGGACACCGAGGTTGTCGTAGAAAGCGAAGCACCCGACGGGAATATGCACGTCGAAAGAAAGATAACAGGCTCTGAATATGGCGGCTTTTCAAAGCTTGATCCCAGTTTCTCCTAGCTCCCAGTCTCCTTCCCACGCCTTTCGGTAATGCGACAGGGGTGATCTTCCGTGTTTAGTTTTGTCCCTGACAACGTTATTGTAGATTTTTAAGTTCCAGCAGATGCAGGTGATTCTCCACGCTCAACAAGCTGCTATTAGGTAGAATATTAATCGGTCATTCCGGTGGTATTGCATGCTTTTGTGGGACCCTGTAGTTAGGGTGACCACCCGTCCTGCGACTCGTGGGACTGTCCCGCATCGAGGGCTCGTGTCCCGCAAGAAATATCAAAATCTTCAAAATGTCCCGCATTTCACACTGTCGTAAAGCTCACTACACAGCTTATGGCGCTGCCGAACAACGGGGCACAGGGAAGCGCGGAAATCGCTGGTGAACGTGTGAATCGCGATGGTACGCCATTTTCTATCCAAGAATTGTGGGAAGTGACTGTCGTTCTTGCAGGAGATATGACGCGCATGTGCCGTTGTGCGTCTCTTCCCTTGGTGGCAAAATATTGCAAGGGACAATTGCTCACCAAAAGTTGAAAATAAATTATTTTAGTTATTTCCAAATCGTGCTGCGTCAATGCGAAAAGGTTGCTGTGGAAAGTTTTTTTATTATTTTATTTTAGTAAAGACGATCACACAAGGCAAGAAGACTGCAACTCACAACGGTCAAAAACAACAACGTAAGATTCGAAATTTGTGTAGGAGCATGTTGGTGAAAATATGAATTGACAGAAAACGAGAAGCCGTAAAAGATTTACTGCTTCTTCTATCGTTTTGATGCATTGAGTTCTGTTGAAGCCGATTTTATGTTTTCAACTCACACAGTGTCACTTATGGTGAAAATTATTTGAGCTTAATTGCCGGAATACAATTTGCAGCTGTATGATAGGCTTTCAGACAAGACAGGATATCAAATGTGGTCCGCATTTCGTGGCGTGTGTTGGCAACTTTCCTCGTATAGTTATTTTTTCCATTATGTTTTTTAACCTGAGGCTGGGGCAGAAGGCGGAAAAACCATTTTCCTCCACCTGTCCCAGCCTCAGGTGTAAAGGCTACACGGTAAACTTCCACCAGCCCGACTGTGCACTAAGTTCTTTTTTGCAGTTGCCAGAGCCGAAATGTCATACCGTTCCTCTCTTACACCTTCCCCCCCTCCCTTCCCAAAGGTCAGCGTGTCCCGCATTTTGCTAGCAGGAAGGTGGTCACCCTACCTGTAGTGTGCTGCAGGTTTGCAATAGCAGAACAAGCCCCCCCAACAAAGTTTTCTGCTTGCTGTGATTGGTTGTTTTCTCCTCTCCAGCTTTTGCTTTGACAGAGGAAAGAGTGGTGGGCTTTGTGAAAGGGGAAATAATTCCGCTATTCTTAACCTGAAACAAAACAACGGCGGTGCCAATTTCTTTTTAGTTTTATATCTTATTTATGCCAACTGCATTAAACTTGCATAACTTTACAATAAGTCTCAATTGCTTCCTTACATTTTCTATGGTACTGTCATATTTTATCTTTTTGGCTTGAATGCCTTTGGGGTAATTGTTTGTTGCCTTATTGCTTTGCCTCGTTCGTTTGCAGCAACAATACATCTGCATCCACCAGTGCTTAATGTGTGTGCTCGAAGGGAAGGAGGACATTTTGGACTCTCCAAGACCCGAAGCTCATGACAATCAAGGTTTTGAGGGTGAGTCCCACGTTCCGTGCCTCCATTCGGACGCATGGCGGTCAAAGTTTCAATTTTTTTCTATTGGCTGTGACTTTCCACCCTGACCAACCCTAACATTTGCTGCGTTAAAGTGCCTGTCAGGGTAGCCTAGCAATAGCGGGGTTTGCAAGATATTTCAAAGATTCTCTGATCTCCTTGGGTAAAAGATCATGTCTCCCAATGAATTTCGTTGTTGATTGTGGCGTTTCTTCTTCAATTGTGTCTCGGGGCAAATTCGTTGGGTTGCCTTTTTCATTTTTCCAGCTGGACCCAGTCGTAAGCATATTCACGTCCGATTTGAACAGACTGAAACAAATACTCATAACTACACTCTTTCAGCCTTTTAGACAGTATGGATTGATGAATTAAAATGCGCAAATCATAATCGATGGAAGTTTTCATTATTATTATTATTATTACTACCATTATTAACTACAACATTGTGCATAAATTAAGCAGTATGCAGAAGTTCCTGCTACCCATATAGTATGCACAACAGCCCTTGTCGATAATCGCAAGTCCGTCATATTGTATGTTTGAAAATGCCGTGTAATGGGAGGACGGCACACGTCACAATGCATACGAACCTCGATCTTCAATCGGCGTCGGTGCGGATCCGAGATACTAGCATTTTTGAGCTTCCCCAAGTTTTACTGCGTGTTCGACAGCCATCAGTCATCCCGTACACTCAGATGTTCCAAGAGCGAGAGAAATCTCTCCAAAGATGTCTGTGTGAAGTCGTCATTTTAAGATGATAGCTTTATATGAAGACCTCGCTTGCTATTATTGGTGCTGGTCGCGCCATAACAAGGCCATGAGAGAGAGGGTCAGCAACGTCGCAGCGTGTGCGACCAATGGCGTTGTGCCGCATGGAGGGGGGGTGGGGGGGGGGGGGGGGGAGTGGTGCACCAATTCGCCCCTCCCTTTCCCTCCTCCGCTGCATAGGAGCAGGGGCTGCGTAGTAGTTTGAGAACTGCTTATTAGTAAAATACTAAAAGAATCTAGTAAAAATGAATTTGTTTCGAAGTACTGCTCATTGAAAGTCCCATCAAGTGCTATCATGCCTTCACTGCATTTGGCGGAATGTCTAAGCCAAGTGGCTTTTCAATGGGTATGGACTTGCCTGCCCTAAAGATTCTTTTCCTCTACTCACGGCTTCTCTTTTCTGCATCGTTTCTTGCATGACATCTCCGTTATCCGAGCAGTATCTTTGTCGAGGCTAACCCGCAAAAATTTATAGATTGGTGCCAGTCAGAGTTTGCACGCAGAGTTACAGTATGAATAGTGCGTTTCATTCTGCTATTATTGTCTTTGCAGTGCAATAACTCAATTCAACTAACCATAGTATTATGAAACACTACCCTGGTCGTGTCAACGACAGCATTATGCCTTTATGTGTTTATGCCTAGTATATTAGGATACCAATTTGCAATATACACGACTGAGATCCAGATACTGACTTAGTGAAGAGCTACCAAGGAAAAGTTGAGCGATTAAATTATTCTATTCTGGGTTGCACAGAATTGCGCATCTAACTAATTGACTCATCTCGGCCAAAAGATAAGGGCCTAAATGAAACTATATATTCTGTTTCACTTTAACTGCGGGTGCAGCTAAAGCTACAAAAGCGAACTTTGTGCTTTCAAAGTCTTTTTCGAGCACATGCGCTCATGCAGTGCAAGCATAGTTCAGGGCAACATGCTTGTGCTTGCAGCTATGGCTTCGCTCGCACTTAAAGTAAAACAAACTGTAGTTTCAGTTAACATATGTAACATGATGGTCGGTAATTTTCTTTTCAGCCCGAAGTTACTAGCCGCCGCTCTGTTCTGCGTTCACGGTACTTTCCTCAATTCGCACGCTCAGCATGGCTAGGCCAGCATGCTTCGTTACAAAGCATGAAAACTGTCTTTTAATTGTTGCGGCACCCTCCAACCTTACACCTCCAATTTCTTTTTTCCCTTGACTCCTGTTATCTCTTATCTTTCACTACCACAATGAATTCGCAGGATACTTCCAAAGATGTCACAAATGTGTCACAGAAACTAACTGCAGGTTACAAATTAGTTTATTCCTGAAATGATGTATCATCCAATGTTGTATTGTAGACTCTTCTCTTGTATTATTATAATAGCAGGAAGTGCATATTAAAAATGTTGCCTTGACAGAGAAGATATTGTTCATGGTACTAGGTATGTACAAGTATTTATCAATGAACAGCAGTTTTGGGTAGGCAATAGAATTATTATTATTATTTTAATTGGGTCCAACAGTATGAAAGATCAGACCATCCTGGCAACACTGACCCATTACTGCTTTCTCATTACACTGATGTGCATCACAGATCACTCAACGTGACTAAAAAAAATTTGAAAGACATTTATCATCTGTAGTTTGTAAAACTTCCTTTATCAGGAAGATAATTCGGAACTGAGTGGAATCATCTGTAAATATAACAAATAAATTTATTCACTACAGGATGAGCAGAGGGCGTGGCAAAATCCTTTGTGCTTAATCCAGGAACATGCATGTCCAGAATGGTTGCATGGTCCCTTCAAAAGTCTCATACTGTAAAGTTATACATTGGCCCCCCTTGCAAAATTATTGCCCGCATATTATATCTGCATTGTCCCAGCACTGCTGTGTGGTAACTATGCTCGTGTGCCGTGGTTCCACTGCTCTGCTTGAACGTTGTGAACGTTGTGAACCCCACATTATATCCTACTGCACAGTTCAGTCTTCTGAACATATGAGCGAGTTTCAAGCGTTCCTCAGCTGTCATGAAGTGAAAAGTTAAAACCCTAGTGTTCCATCTTGTTGTGAAGATGCTGTGGGTGACTGGACCGTGTTTTAAGATCAAGGGATGTCTGAGGGAAGCTTGCAGTCAACCTCAAATGGGCATAAAACTTGAGAAATCTGGCGTCCTCATTTTAATGGTTTTGAACGACAGAAATCAAATACAGAGAGGCATGCACACCTTCCTTTAAAACAAACTTCCTTGTATCTTTATGGTTTCTTTAGCAGAGATGAATTTATACGACATTTTTTAGCAATCGGTAGATATTTTGGTGCACATGTCTAGTACACATATTACTACGATGACCTTTCTGATGCGAAATTGTAAACCTTGTTTTCAGATGACGAGGGAATCGCCGAATCTGGAATATAGCCATAAAGACCCCCATCCCCCAAGAAGATCCTCTCTCCCACTGCAAGTCAAAGTCAGGTGCCGAGGAGTTTGGCACTTTTGGTTCTTGGATCCTACGGAGCTTCTACCCCGCTCCTCTCAAGAACGATGTACATACTACTTCGGGATATTTATGAGAACAAGGCTTTGGAAGGCACAATGCACCAGTATTGAAGACCACGGAAAGACGCCAAGGAAGAGAAGCGTGGCAGCGTGGATGGAGATACTCAAGTGAATCGCAAGTTGCAATAACGACCCCAGAGCAACTCGGCCTCGTTTTTCTGTTGTTGTTTTGTCCTACGTTCAGAAGGTCGTGGACATGCTTTCCATACTTTGGTTGGTCCGCGACAAGGATTGCTGACGGAAGGTCAAGCAGCCGGTGTGTACATATGTGGACAAATGTGTTTCGTGCACGACGTCTCTTGGTACGGTTAGACTGTTTGTTCCTTCGTTGTTGTTTTTTTGTTTTTTTGCGGTGTGACATGTTTTTTCTGAAGTGCAATTAATTGAGTATGTCGAGGCGCTGCATCATCTATAGGTCCGAGCCGACGTTTTGATGTTGACGTGCCTTTTGTGTTGGCGGCTCTACAGGGAAGCAAGGTTGGAACAAGCGCACCAAGGTATTCCTTTGCAGGTTACGCTGAGACAGAAGAGAATTCCTAATACACAACTTTGGTGCCTACCTTTTTTTCATTTTGTTTCTAGGAGTCTGAACGTTTTGGCACCGTAGCGTTGCGATTCCTACTATATATTTCTGAGAAGGCTAGGGTTGAACAGAAATACTCAGGTGTGCAAGTAGCCAGATGTGAACAAGTGTGTCAGTAGGTGAAAGAAAATATTGCGAGGTAGCTTAAACGGTCTCCAGAAGTAACTACTTATCCAAGTTTCAAGAGGAGTAGTCTTTGAAACTTGCGAGTAGCAAGTATAAAATTAGCATACTAAGCCGTCTTCCATATAAAAAAAAAAAGACACAGAAGCAGCAAAATACTTCCACTACAAAAGAAATATGGCCCGAAGATATGTGGCCATAGGTCTGCAATTCATTTTCACTCATCGTAAATACTGGGGTAAATGTTCAATCATTGAGACATTGTCAGATATAACTGCAACACTGTTGCATTTTCTTTGCGACCTTTGTAACTTGGAACAAACCAAGATGCCAAATCCTACTCAAGTGAAACAAACGAGTCACAAAGCATGTGTATATATGACAGTATGTATCTGGATGCAGCATATCAAAATGACATTTCTATGTACTATATGTAGTATATATATATACACATATATATACTAGATCATACAGTGACTAGACCAATCGCCATGCTTGTCTTCAGGCCTAGAGTAGTGGTGCCGTGAGCTCCTAAAGCAATGTGCATGAATGCAGTGTACTCCTACACAGTCCTCAAAATATAGTGCCAATGTAATAATACCACAAATTTGTTTCCTAAGTACTGAGTGCTTCTGAAGAGATGTATCGTACACAGTCTTGAGCTGTTCTTCGTTGGAATGAATATGTGCACTATTTTGTCAAAGTGACATAACTTATTTTTTATAATTTATCAGCAACTGTCCGCTCTTGAGGCATCTTAATTTTTGTTATATTAGGAATCTTCTGTCTCCACTATTCCGTAATGGAATTTTTATGTTAATAACAATAAAGATATTCCAACGATGGTATTGTTTTTTTGTTCTTCAATGTAGTAATGGGTATTGTGATTGGCTGATGTATGTTACGAAGAATTTGTCGTGCGAGAAGAGCACTCCATACAAAACTTGAAAGTATTAAACAGCGAGGACGAGGACGGGAACAGTACATCTTTCATTTAGCAACAACATAAAATGGCACAACGATAAAACCGCCCCCTAAAGATTTCAACGTTCTCAAAGAGGGAAAGGAGATAATTTCCTTATATAAAGAAAATGGAATTTAATGTAAATATAAAAGTTTAAAAATCGCTGGCGTCACGACGAGTTATCTCTAATCTAGTTATCTCTGATTGCTTAGAATTCGACCTTTGTCATTGTCAATGATAATGAAGGTGCAGAAATATTGTTGTTTACAGTCCCAAAGGGAAAATACTATAAATACAAAAGTTTAAAAAGCTCTAGCGTCATGACGAGGTGTCAGTAATCTAGTCATCTCTAGTGTTGAAATTCGACCTGTGTCTTTGTCAATGATAATGAAGGTGCAAAAATGTTGTTGTTTACAGTCCCCATGGCAACGTGGGGACTGTAAACAACAGCATTTCTGCATAAAATATTGATTGGGCAATCTTCCGACACCATAATGAATCGCCTGCCAAAAAATAAAATAAATCTTTTGAGGGGTGTCAGTGTCCCTTTAAAGGGTAACTGCAAACAAAAGAAGTGTTTTTTAAACCGTCTAATTGGACCAAGCATGTCACAAAACATATCTTCCGCGAAAAAACAATATTTTTTAGCAATATTTACGCCACAGGACGTAATTTAGTCGGAGTCACAACCTCTCCACATTTGAAACTCCCGCTCTTTCGACGCGCGCGGAGTGGCTGGTACCAGGTCACTCCGTGACGTAAAATACCAACTTTGTGGCGCGCGATTTAAAACAGACGAAAAAGCCGCAAACTAAAATCAGTCTCGCGCATTAAATATTGCTGTAAAATTTTTTTTTTCACGGAAAAATTTTTTTGTGACGTGCTTCTCGCTCAAAATAGGGATTATTTATGGCCAATAATTTTATTGCGGTTATTTATCTTTACTTTCGTTTCAAATATTGCCAAGGTGTGTCCCTTCGACAATATTTGTCTAAGTTTGACTAGCTCTTCCGTGTGACCTATTTGAGATATCGTAACATATTTAGTATTTTCAGAAAGTTAAGAGTACACTCTTTCTATTGATAAAAAATTTAACGTTGTGTGTAAAAGGGAAAGGGCAGTGTATTCTCGTAAATCAAGGACTACTACAAAATATTGCCAAATTGGAGATCGAATTTCTAAAAAAAATCCGCCTTTTATTTGGCTTATTTTTTTTTTTCTAGCTAGCTATTCCAGTGCTTTATAAGATAATATAAATAAAAATGTAATTTTTTTGTTTGTATGGCAGCTATAAGAGCTTGAACTCTGATTTTGTTTGACTGTTTTGTCAGTAAATCAACTTACTCGCAAAAATACACTAATTCAAAATTGGCGCCTCTTTTTATTAATAAATACCTTTGAACACACTTATTCTTTGATAAATAATTTTAACACGATTATTTATATGAAATATATTTTAGAAAATTTGTGAAATATTTCTGAATGTTTACTAGCTGTGCGACCTATATGAGGCGTCTTAACATATTTAGTATTTTCAGAAATAACAAATTTGATGTGTGCAAAAGAGAAAGGACAGTATTTTTCGTAAAGCAAGGACTATTTCAAAACTTTTGCGAATTGGAGGTCGATTTTCTAGAAAGCCTACCCTTTCTTTTGGCTAATCGTTTTTCTAATAAACAGAAAATGTAATATTTTGTTAGTATAGCGGCTATAAAGGGTTACATTTTGGTTTTTGTTCACTTGTCGCCCAGTAATACAAGTGACTCACTAAAATGCACTCACTCATAATTAACGCCTCTGAAAATTTGAGTAACATACCTGTGAATTCCTTTAATAAAAGAAGATGCAAACAGCGAGCTATGCTAATAAAGCGTCTAGGTCATTATATGTAGGGATGTCGCGAACCACCCTAGGTTCGATTTCGAAAGGTTTCGATATTTGCGAAGCGAACTGAGGTTCGATTTCGAAAAATTTCGATATTTTCGTACCGACCGAGGTTCGATTTCGAAAAATTCGCAACTTTTGACCACAGCGAAGTTTCGAATTCGAAAATTTCGAAGCTTTCACGGTTTCTAAAATTTCGAATTCGAATATTTCGAATATTTTTTTACTTCAGGTTCGATAAATTCGAAGATTTCGAAATTCTTTGTTAAAAAAATTCGAAAACTTCGAACGCTTCGAATTTTTATAGACATGAAGTTCGAACAATTCGAAGATTTCGAATTTCTTTTTGCATAAAGTTCGAAGATTTCGATTCTCTTTTAACGCTAAATAAAAAAAAAAATAAAAAAAACTTCGAAGATTTTGAATTTTTTTCTAATCCAAGTTTTCAAAGTTCGAAGTCCGATTTTCAAGTTTTTCCACAGTTTCAGTTTCAAATAACGTTTTCACGACTCACTTGTTTTCACAAAATCAAGTTTAGAAAAGTGAGGGTGTGATATCTAGATTCTGCGAAGTTGGTCAGGCAATTAAATGAGACGACGAGTGTCCCGGATGTGCTAGAATATTTGCCAGTGCAGAATTGTGACCGCCAGCCCCGGGGGGGGGGGGGGGGGGGGGGGGGGGGGTCTTTCACCTGCATCACGCAGTAGTGATTGCACGAACACTCTGTTTTACGAGACTCATCCAGTTCGAAACGGCCAGGGGCGAGCAGGAGGTTGAGGCTCAGAAAAGCCTTGAAGCGACCTGGCAAACTAGCTCGCCACTCCTTGCACGCTGGTAGTAATCCGATCCCGTGAAGTTTGTAATAGACTACTTCCATAAAGCCCTGCATGCAACACGGCGCGCGTTGCACTCTGGGAACTAGTTGGCCAGGGAGGAGGTGGCATGGTTTCGGTTTCGATTGACACGTCGACAAGAGATTGTTTTCTGGTCCCGAGAGCGTCATTTGTGGTCTCTAAACTAACCTAAATTGCCATATTTCGAAGCTTTAGCACAAGCCTGAGACGTATAGCTTGTCTTAACACATGCTTGTTGTATTTTTGTACTTGAGCCTTCCTGTTAGCGTTCCAATCGAGGTATGTGGACGAGCCAGTGCTGGGAATCTCGACGCTGCGAAGCTCGGGGATCTCGCTTGTGTACGAATCAACAAGCTGTAGCAACCAATAAGTATGAATACATCGAGCTCGCGCCTTTACATTCGTGTTGTTGATCGGGAAGTTTGTTTGTTTCGTGCGTCCATAGACGAAATATTACTTTTTGCAATTACTGTTTTTCTTAATACGCCTGAGTACGCGAGGTAAAACTCGGAGGCGCCATTGAAAAGCTCAGTTTTAACGGTTTTAACACACCTCTTATCTTTTATCTGTGCTGACCCGCAGCACTGCACGAAGTGAAGTCCCCACCCGCTTGCGTTCCACTAATATTCAACATCGCGTATGCGCATAAAGTTATCCTGCAATCATATAGGCAAATTCGCACATACAGACCGTTTTAAGAAAGCAAAAGTCGAGCACTTGTGTTAAGAATGTCACACCGTTCGCCGGAAGTGCGCCGGACGGGCATGAACCCCTACGCGGTGCCCGTCCGGCGCACGGTGCGACATTCTTCACACAAGTGCTCGAACGAATTCAAAGCGCGTTTGACGGTTGCTAATGGCCATATTATTTGTTATATGTTTGTTTTCTTCCTGCCTGCGTATGCCGAGATAATTTCAGACACACCGTTCAGGCACAGATCTTGGGCGTCAGTAAAAGCTCGTCCGAAAAGGCTTAGCGAGGAGTAGGGGACGCTTGTTAGGGCCTCCGTCGTAGCTAGCCGGTCTCAGCGTTTGCGAAAAGTTAATCTTCTATCAGCATAAAATTTGAGTGGGAGATATATGATGACACAAGGAAGACATCATTGTAACTTTTGTGCAGTAGTGAGGTCGAATTTATTGCGTTTCCTTAAAAGTTCACGCGTCAACGCTGGGCTGAACTTTGATACCCTGTGAGGATGCGGTTTGCTTTTCGCCCAATGAAGTAACAAGAAACGGACGTTTGGCAAACAAAATACGTGTAAGGCTCCAGATGAACAAATTTCATTTCTAGTTCACTGGTACTAGACGGGATTATTGAAATTGAGCTCAAACATGCACTCGTGGGGTGAGGTGACTAAACCACGACTTACTACGTTCGCATACGCACCACAATATCCGGTGTTTCGGGAACCAAGGAAAGTGCCCCGGCCTTCGCTTTGTATCGCTCGAGAATGAGTGTATTGTACGTTCGTGAAAAGTCAGATCAATCGAAAACGCAAGCAGCGCGTTCGGTCGCGGCGTGATAGCATGAGATGAAGCTGCTCAGTCGAAACCGAAACTGAGTGGCCAACTAGTTCCCAGAGTGCACTGCGTGGTATTTCGCCGCGATGGGGCGCGTCGGTTTTGGAATAAGTCAATTGTCCTGGAGGTTAATTTTCTGGGACGGAGGAATCGCCTCGCAAAAAGCACAAAAGCCGACACAACTCGAGGTCGAGGAGCGTTCTACCATACAAGTGGCGTCGGAAGAGGAAAAACGGGGGGAAAGAGGGTAGCGGGGGGGGGGGGGGGGGGGGGGAGAGGCTTCAGCTTCCTTCTCCCCCTTGCAGGTATTTCGGACTGTTAAAGAAAACAATACGGGGAAAGAGGGCGTGGTCGAGCTTATTTTAATCTGAAATTATTTATGCATATGTATAGCTACTGTCGCTCTTCACTGCATAAAAGGTTGCGTAGATGGTTATTGTTAGAAACTCGTTGTCAGAAGACACTGCTCGTCACATGCTTAGTGGTTCGGAAGTTCAAAGCTGTCTTTTCGACCTAAACAACTGTGCCAATAGCAAAAAAAAAAAAAAAAAGTAAACGCGGGAATAAAAAGCAGGAGAAAAAAAAAACTATCAAGAATTCGTCGGAAGTGTTCTATTCTTGCATAT